TATTTTCTGATGTGTGTTACCTTCCCTTTCCGTAAGGAATCTGTCATTGCAGTTTGTTTCAGGACTGTGTTTTGCGTCTTGTTATTGTTTTCTAAAATGTAAATTTGTTTCATCTTAGGTTTTTCTTATTTAATTGTGTCTTATGATAGGTAAAAATGTTTGAGCTTTGTAAAAGTGTTTTCTGGGCACCGTAAATTTGTCGGCAACAACAACAAAAAAATTGCTGAAGTCACTTTTCTCAATTCAACACTCTAGGTCTTTAGCCTTTGTAGGTCAGTATACCTGCACACAGGATTGTCCAAGCAGCTTACAAAAGATCATCATGGGTGCCCTTTAAAGACTATACTTTAAGTATAGTCAACTAATCAATATTTAAAGTGTAAGCATTAATTTAAAGGTGATTAATTTAAAGGTATTCTGCTTTCAGGTAACTAAAAAAGACATGAAAATGTATTTAGCTTGTGTTCCAAGATCAGATATGTGCAAATGTATGAACAGGGACAAGCTTGGACCCTCTCTCTGGTCCTTTTTGAAGTTGACCATACACAGGCGGCCATTAATAGACTACATTCCATCTGCCCAAACAAGCTGATGATCAGGATGCCGAATTGGGGAAGGACCAGGAATTGATGCTTCAGTGCATCTTTATCTGAAAACAAAGAACCCCTGAGTAGTTTGCCACATTCTGTTTGCCAAATGCGACCTCTATCACATGACTGGTACAGTCGGGTGACTGCTTGAACTGACACCTCAGTCTCCATAACGTACTGTGTGGCAATGTGGGAGGATGGGTGTGAGGCCCAGTTTTTGCATGCATGTGTTGATGGGGATGATATTAGTGGGTTGACAAGGATTGATCTGAGACTAAGAACGCTGTGTGGTTAAAGCTATCAGTTTTTTCAAAAATATAAATTGTCATCATTTACTCACCATTTACATGTTTCAAACCATTAGGAGTTTCTTTTGTCAAACACACACATATTAAAAAAAAAAAAAATTTGAAAACTTATAACCTTTGACTTCCATAGTATGACAAACAAATACTGTGGAAGTCAATGGTTACAGGTTTTCAGCTTTAACAGAATGGATAAATTTATACAAATCTGTAACCACTTGAGGGTGAGTACATTTTCATTTTTAGGTGAACTATCCCTCTAATAGGAAAGATAGATGTGTTTTTTACTTGTGAATTGTAGGGAACCTCTTGATTTTGTTCATGGCTTGTTTTGCTTGCTTAATGGCAGTAAAAGCAGTTATTTGGTGTACAGTTTCAAATGATGGATGAAGATCAGAATGAAATTGGGTTGGAATACGGCATGTCTGGCTGGAGTGGAAAATAGTATGCTGTGTTTTTTGCGAGTCTGTGGTTGCCTGTCTGTGGAAATTAATTTAATAAAACTACTCAAGCTTTCAGAAGTTGTTTTTTTTTAACTTGGGATTGTAGAAATGTATTTTATTAACTTTGACTGGAGTGTAAAGTAATCCAAACAAGTCATCCCTTTTCCAATCGGTAAAAGTTTAGTACGGATTGTACAATAGGTTTATTTATTTATTTATTTATTTATTTATTTTAGTTTAGTCAGTGCAAAGTGTCACCAAGTTTGCTGTAGCCCACTTGCTTCAATATTTGTTGTGTTGTGTGTTCTGAGAAACCGTTGTGCAGAGCTCAGTAGGGGTAGGCCCTATATCGCTATGAATGTGACTACCAGTATTAGGTTGTGTCAAGATTAAGGACGTTATGATTAACCAACTTCATAATTAACTGTGCTTTCATTCATTACAGTTAATTAATCATAAAGGCTTCTCAACGCGGCATTTCTGCACAAAACAAAACTGCTGATACTAAAGGTTATGCGCAACTGTGCGCTAGTTTAAAGTTCTGCGCTTGTTCACAGAGACTAAAACCCACACAAACTGGATTAACTGTTGCTGAGGCTATTAACTGACATTATTTCTAATGGAAACGTGTGGCTTGAGCGTGCATATTGGGAGTGACATGCTTTCCTGGCATACCTAGTTGAAAACATTTAAACTTTTCAGAATGCTGCGAGCGCACCGCGAGTCACGTGACAAGAACTGACCATTCAGTTTCATACTTTGTATGGAATATACACATTGCTATTCTGGTCTGAAAAGAAAATGAAAATACCATGGATTTTGGATTTTATAATATAGTTGATTAAAAGACAGAGGTCCAGTCGCCTATGACTACATTTGTTATCTTTAATAGGGAAACACTTAGCTAATATGATGCTTAGATTTACATTAGACAAATACAGTTTTTCATTTTTTTTTTTAATTCAAAAAAGCTCAATTATCCACTTTTCCCCACAATAAAAGCTGACAGGTGTAAACATTGTCTTAACTGATGCTCAACACACACAAATCTGTTAAAATCTCAAAAAAGTACTTGAGGGTTTTGTGAACCTTTAAATGACAGGTAATGTGCGCAGCAGTGCTGCTGGATTTACATGTTTATTCATCACGTTCTTCCGAAATACCGGGAAGTTACTGTTTTGTCTGGGAGTGAAATAGAGAAAATATTCTAGTGACATAAACTGTGTGCATCTTGCATGAATAAAGCACATCATCCAGTTATATTGAAAAAATAATTAGTATTGCCTCTCCATAGACATTCGCGTGTATTTTAAAAGCTTTAGTGGTTTGTTTTGCTAGTAGTTATGTGTATTGGAATGTCTGAAACCTTAAATGCATGCTATTTTTTTTTTTACAAACACAGAGAAATTGTGATTTTTATGACAATTGCTGTGCACCTCTTTCTTGAGCACAAACGTCAGGTTTGAATTTGAGCAGATGACGATCTGTGTTATAATGTTCTCATCACACTGGTGTGATTGTATGCATGTCCAGGAGGCCAACATGCACTATACCTTTCATAAGTCTCATTGGATTCACCATATTTAAGATCCATTTTTCAATATGCAATCTTGTTTGTATTTGTGTTCTTATGAGACTTCATCAGTCATCACTTGGTGCCTTTTGGAACAGTCTTAAAAATGTTGTTAACAGTTGGGTTTTTTTAAAGATAGAAATAACCTAACCATTAAGTTTTTTTTTTTTTTTCAGAAATAAACGATTGCATTTATTTTATTTATTTTTTTATTTCAGCCCCTAAAACACTATTGTGCAAAATGTCATTTTCTGTTTTCTGCCAGGAAAGAAAATGCCTGACAACTTGAACCAAAAAAATGTTGTTTTAGAACAATGTTCAGTGAACCAATTTTACTCTCCCTCTAGCTGTAGTCCTTGCAAAAGTGTTTCAAAGCATGTTTGATTTCTGTTTCAGTCATTGGTGTTTAACAATTTACCTAAATTTAAGTAAAAACAACACAGTATTTTTTTAAATGCCAATTATTCAAGTTCTGTACGTGTGGGGGAAAATATTGATACACCAAAGTATCGCGTAGTTTTACAGCAATATTATATGGATTCCCATATTAAAATAATGCCAATATTTTATTATGGTATTTTGCATTGCTTTCTTACCTCAATCAAACTGCTCCACCACCTCATTCAGGCGATCTCAAAGCTATTGTTTTGGTACGAATCTGAGTGCAATTGTGGTGTTCACATATGATCAAACAAACTGAGCTAGGCGGGCAAAAGTGAAATGATGTCCTATAAAGGAAATGTCTGCCAGCATATTTTTAGGTGAAAATCGAAGAAGCTTCAAACACTTCGTCTACTTGGAATTATAAAGTTCTATCTGCCTTCTGAATGATTTTCAGATATTAAGCTTCAAAGTTTTTGCATTCCATAGCAAACAGTATGTGTGAAACATTTGTTTTTTTTTAAATAAAGTCTTTAAATTTAAACAACTTATAAAAAAGTCCATAATTTAAATAAGTTGTAAATTAATAAGAATGTCAATAACTAAATTTTGACAAATGTCAGATAGAACTTAATAATTCTAAGGTGATGACTTATTTGGATTCTGGTGTTTTCTACACTTAATAGGTTGTTAGGTTGAGTCGCTTTGGATTAAAAAAAATATATATATAGTTGTCTAGCATATTACACTTTTAATGCAGGGAGCATTGTTCACTTTAACAAGGGGACACCACCACCATCATAAAAGGGTGCACTCGGTCTATTTCAAGTTTTCTGTTTTCTTAGCAAGTGTCAAATTTATGTCACCCTGAACGGCCGAAATCATGGCTTCAGGGATGCTCTGACCAAGTCCCCTTGTCATAGCAATTCACCCTTTTTTAAAGTCACTTAGTCAGATGCTATTTCTGCAGTAGTTGATAACAAGAGTGGATTGTTTGCTTGTCAGCTAGTCTACCCAGGTATTAATATATGAAAGATTTGCTTCACCCCTGACTGGTCTTCATGTCTTGTTTCATCACTGTGTGATTTCTGTGCTGTTAAACATTATTAATCTCAACCACAGATGCATGAATATATACAGTTTATGACAACATGCATGATAGTTTTGCATTATTCAACAATTCTTTTTTTATTTTATTTTATTTTTTACATGGAGAATAGTGTTGATCTTGATTCTCCCCCTGTGGTTTTAAGATGCCATATCAAATTTCAAATATGATTTATTTCAAATAATTGTATTTTAATTAAATAGCCTTATAAACCATATATCAGTGGAAGATTATTTGATTAAGCTTTCAGTTGATGTATAAATCTTAAAAAAAAATATATATATATTGACACTTGTGATTGGTTTTGTGATCTAGGGTCACATATCTACATTGTAAAAATGCAGGGTTCCACACAATTCATTCATGTTGTCCCACCACAAATCAATTTAGTTAGCTTATCAAATTTAAGCAGATTGAACGTAAACCTATTAACCCCCCCACCCCACCCTCCCAAAAAAAACTCTAGAATTGTTTTGTTTCAGCTTATTTTAAACAATGTATCAACAAAAATCATTTATTTGAGAGTATGTAGACTAGGCAAATACAGTTAGAGTTTCAAACATAGTTCAAATCTGTGATGCGTTTTCTCTCTCTTTACAGGAAGTGACTAAAAAGAGTTTTGGAAGCAAATCTTTTCGAGTGGCTTTGGAGGATGGAGTTCTTCTGTGCGAGTAAGAGCAATTTGAATGTATATATTTGAACAATGCATTGTTTTTAAAATATCAAGATATAATTAGAATCCATTTATTTTCATTTTATTTTATAAGTGGTTATTTTTGTAATCAATTAATGTTTGTCTGTGTTTATTTGTGTTCCATCAATTTATTTTTTTTAGTCTGATCAACACACTAAAGCCTGGCATCATCAAACGACTTAACAGACTCTCCACTCCTATTGCAGGCTTGGTGAGCAAATTTTTATTCAGGTTAAATACATAATATAAATATACAAATATAAATTAACCAAATTTATATTCGGTTAATAATCTGTGCTTAATTTGAGCCAGATCTTGCCGGATCCTGTTCTGGATAATGTCAGATATTTGTACTTTGCGTTCCGATATTTATATTATTAAATCCGGCATTAACTTGTGGGTGGTGAATACCTATATGTGTGTGTGAATAGTGTGCACACACACATGACTGTATTCACCATGCACAAGTTAAAGCAAAGTCCTGTTAAACTATTGGCCTTCAACAGTATTTTCAGCCAATCAGCTTTCTTATGTTTACAATCACTCTTATTGGTTGGTGATTGTTTCGCTCACACATTGAGGAGCAAAAATAAATAATGGCATATTGGCCAACCTAAATAATATTTGTATTTTAAAAATGGCAGAGACAGTTACCTATATTTTCATTCTTTTAAAACCATTAGTATATTTGATAATGAGCCTAATTAAATGAATGGATCAGGATAGCGGGAGACAGAAACAAAGCGATCTCAAGACAGCCAGAAAACATGAGGGAAGAGCTAATTGTGGGCTCTTCTTGAAGATTAGACTGAGTCATTTAATTATTATTTTTAGTGACGTTCACTTTTTAGTTAAGTGAATTGAATAGTGATTGTTCGTGCGATTTTTATGTTTGTGGCTACATGTTTTTATTTTTCATGACTGACATAAAACATTATATGGCACAAATTAATTAAAGACCATTCAGAAATGTGATGCTCTTTTTTGCACTATTTAAAGTGCAAAAGTAAGTTCAGGGAAAACTGAAATTGTGTGGTGGATGTCGGTCTCGGTAACTTTTATTTCCTGGTTTTGTTCCGGGAAATAGTAATTTACGATTTAAGCTCTGGTTAATGTTTAATTTAGTTCATAGATTTAATTAACTAAATTGTAAATGCTTTTAAATTTTTTTTGCGTTAAATAACTTTTAAAACAATTTTTTTTACGTTAAATAATAAATAATACATTTTAATTTAGTAAATTTTTACCTTAATGTTTACGTTAAATAATTAAAAAAAATGTTATTGTTAAATAATAAATAATTCATTTAATTTAGTTAAATTTTATGTTAAATAACTTTTGTTATAATTTGTTAAATGATTTTTAACGTAATTTTACCATTAAATAATAAATAATTAATACATTTAATTGAGTTAATTTTTACGTTAAATATTTTTTTTAAAGTTAAATAATAAATAAATAATATGTTTAATTTAGTTAATGGATTTAATTTATTAAAAGATTCAAGTTAACTATATTTGGTTTAAATCTGCAAATGTCAAGATGTTTTCCCTGACTCCAGTGGATCCGGCTTTAAATGTAGAGAATGTGTGGGACACCTGACAGCTGTCTTTTTTCCCCCCCAACCCTGTTCACCTAGTCCATTGCTTGTGCTGCTCTATTTTTAACTGAGCTTCTTCATTCAAGCTTCTCTGTTTTGGATCTCAACTTTATTAATGCACTGGTTGTTTTAAAGATGATGTCAAACTTTTCATTTATGATATCCTTGTTGATGGTCAATCCTGGTCTCTCTTCAGGATAATGTGAACGTGTTTCTCAAGGCTTGCAAGAAGCTAGGGCTCAATGAAGCACAACTATTCCATCCTGGAGACCTGCAGGATGTCTCCACACGTGTGACTGTCAGGTGAGCAGAGAGAAGTGAAAGTGAACATTCCACTTTTTATTTCTTTATTTCTTTTCTCATTGTTTTTAATTGTAGTGTGATTTTAATTTTTTTTTGTAAGTTCTCTTATAAACTTTCAGAGTTGAATGTCTCTTCTGACTTTTTTCTTGTTTAATTCAATAAGGCTTAAATGCAAACTGATGCAAAACTATCTATCTGTATTTACACTTTTATTGCCGTAGCTGTTTGTGTGGAGTATAAAAGAAGTAAAGTCTTTAGGGGTGACTGCAGGACAAGCTTCATTTGAATAGTGTTTGCGGTTTGATTGCATTTCCATACTAAATGAAAGGCTGTCACACATAATCTGTCCAACATCTTATTCAAACAATGAAAACTGGCCAATGCAGACTAATGTTCTGGGCAAGCTGCATTATGAAAATGTATTTTGAATCAAATCTGATAGCATTTAAATGGCAGGATGGCCAGACATGGCATCACTGTTAAAAAGCATGGTTCACTTAAAAAAAATGCCAGAGTTTTCTTTTTCTCTGCATTTTAAACACAAAAGACTCCTGCTGCTATTTTATTATATATTTTTTATTTTATTTTATTTTATTTTATTTTATTTTATTATTTTTATTTTAATTATTTTATTTAATTTTTATTAAATGTTATATTTTTCCCCTTTGTTCTATTAAAAATAATTTGATATTTTTGGTATTTAATTTTTATTTTTGTATTTTATTTAAAGTTTATTTTATTCAATGTTTATAAGTTTTTTTCATTTTATATAAATAAGTACTTTTAAATAAATGTTTATTAACTTTTTTTGATTTAGTGTTTTTTTTTAAATTCATTTATTTTTTTTTATTCTTAGCATTGCATGTTTTTAAATAGAAAGATTAGGTGTTAAACTTAAGATTAAAATTGGTCTAGTTAAGAAATAATTTATTTCCTTTACAAAATATTAATGTTGTTTGAAATTCAGTCCTCATAGTTCCCATGTGGCCAATTTGTGTACAGTTTGAATCATTATCACTCATTCATTCTCTCAACTACCATCCTGCATTGTGCACTCTTTGAAGTTAAAGTTTACATCTTGATTGTGTTATTGGTTTGAATATTATACTAATGGAAGTTCAATAATTTAAATGCTAATCAAGTGCTCTATGATCCCCATACAATATGTTTTCAAAACCATATGAATCTTCCATTGAAGTATTTTTCAATAAGTCTTTCAGTCCCAATTCTTGCTTCTTCTCACATCCTCATTTTCAGACTCCGACTCTACTCTGAACAATAAATCAACTTTGTCCACCATGCTGAGAGCTTAATGTTCCCACAATTGGCCTTGTAGAGAGACGAGGGGCGCGAGAGGGTGGAGATGGGGCACAGTGACCTCTAAAATTAGCCCCGTAAGACTGTCCCCTCAAACCAAATGCTATGGGGAAGCTATAGTGAACCCGGGTGCTATTTTTAACTTGCATACCTTCTCGCGGTCATGTTGGTTTAGGGCTCAATGGAACAACATTCACACTTTCACTTAATAACCACAGAACTATTACATCAAATGTTCCTCCTTAACCTGTCTAGTTTGTTTAACATAACATGACTGTTTAATGAGCATTAGGGACTTAAATGGTTGCATTTGTCTGCAAAAACATGTTTGCTAGTTCATAGTGCTAAACAGATGGCTCGCATGTCCAATGTCAGCACACACAAGCATGCACCCCTGTCAGACTGATTACTGTTTTGTGTGTGTGTGTGTGTGTGTGTGTTTGCTTATGTGACGAAAAGGATGATTGTTCTTGTTATAATAAGCAGTTTTGTATGGAATTCTTGTTTGTTGATTTGTTAATATATTTACCAGTGTACATGATTTGTGACTTATGTGACATATACAGTAGTCGGTCCATTTATAGCAGTGACTTAATTTTATTGGATGGTAGGAATGGATTTAGTTGCTTGCGCTGTATAGGGTGCAGGAACTGATCTGTGTCTGTTCATTTCATTTAACCTGCTTCTTTTCTTCTGCTTAGACGTGAAGAGACAAACAGAAGACTAAAAAATGTAAGTTTTATTTTTTATGCTATTGCTATCTTGTTTTATCACCGACAAATGACTTCTGTTGAATGACTTAAGTGTCTGTGCATGGTATAGTATGTCTTTGCAGAGTGAATTTGGCCTTTGACTCTTTATTTTGCATACCCAACAAGCTGATTTGTAATTGTATCTCATTACAGTCGTCTAGTGAAGTGTTGTTTAGAATTGGACATTTAAAGCCACTTTGCATGCTTTATAGATTAAGGACTCCGATGCAGATACATATGAACAGTGTTCTTTTTTTCTTTAACTTTGTTTTGTAATAATACATATTTAAAATGGTTTAATTTGGCGATAGCAGTTTCATTTCTGCTAGAGTCATGAGAATTAATGTAAATTCAGTGTAATTGAACGGGTTGTTTATTAACAATGACCATAATATTTGTAGGAAACTTTTTGGTAAAAAAAAAAGGCCAAATGTATGGTTTCTGCAATTTTTTTAATGAAAAAATTAATTGCTTAATATATATATATATATGCATGTATGTGTGTTTTTATATATATATATATATATATAATAGATATAATAGATAGATATATGAAATATTTTATGGTATAATTTTTATGGTCTTTAGGCTATGCTTTTTTCATAATCACGATTATTTTGGTCATAATTGTAAACACGATTATTCAAAATGTATTTATTAGAATAAACAAAAGTTATTAGAAATGAGTCATTAAATCTTATGTTTAAACTGTGCTTTAAGTTTCTTCACTGTAAGAAAAAAACTTTAGCTACAAAAGTCCTTCAGTCAAGAGCAGTGAGGGATTTTCTCCTTTTGTTGTTTGATTAATAATAAAAAAAGGCAGCAGGAATCTTGCACACTGTCACTTTAAGAATAGTGCGGCTCTGATATGGTTTCTCTTTCACTTGTCTTTTGATTCTCAACTTTTTTGTTTATTACACAAATGAGGGTTAAAAATAAATAATCATTAAACACCGTGCTCTGACACAAATGTGCATGTATTTGACCATTAAAGCGCTCCCATTAAGATGACGTTAGATGTGTGTGCTCTGCTCGTCTTCGAGCCTGTCTGAGGCTAAGCACTGCGCGCACACAAAACAACAGCTTGTGCTCTTTCATGCTTTTAAAAATATGAATGGTTCGAATGTTAATCAATAAATGATGCGCATCCCGTGCTGCAAAAGTTACATTACAGTACATGCTTTTTGAAATCCAAACCGGATTTTTGATTAATTGCACAGCCCTATAACAAATCATCATGTATACACATGGATATATGATGTACATACACAAAAGTTAGGTATGAAAAAAATATAGCCTAAAGACATTCAGTACATTTGTGTGCGGGTGTATTTATACATATGTGTAGATAAATATTTGTGTGTGTGTGTGTGTGTGTGTGTGTGTGTGTGTGTGTGTGTGTGTGTGTGTGTGTGTGTGTGTGTGGGTGTGTGGGTGTGTGGGTGTGTGGGTGTGTGGGTGGGTGGGTGGGATATTTTGACCAAAAACAAAATAAATAAAACTACAAAATAACAAATGAAAACTTACCTTTTTTTTTTTTTTAAATAAAAACTTTTTTTTAAATAAATGTTTTATACTAAATAACAGCAGTGTTAGTACAAATGCGGTTATATTCTGTTATTCCTTGAATGCATGCTGGTAAATATTGATGAATGGTGGACTGAAAACGTGCAGTTTTGGATTGAGGTTTGTGTAAGCACAGCCTTTTCGTTCAGCTTTTGTCATTTCATGTTTATTTACAGTTGAAGTCAGAATTTATAAGCCCCCCTTTGGATTTTCTTTTTTTTCCCCAATAAAATTCCCAAATTATTTTTAACGGAAACCTCATGATGCACATAACTTTTGAAAATACGCATAAAAAACATGCACAACTGAGTAGGATAAATTTTTATTCGGTTAGAAAAGATGCACCTAAACTACAATGGAACCAATTTTACTGAACAAATTACAGTATGTGCATTAAAAAAATGTTTGTTATAAGAGATCATATGCTGATGAAAATGTGTGTGAATGGACAAACCAGCAGGCTGAGCACACTGTAGCACATCTTAAATGTTGTTTTGGTCATTCATTCTAAAACACCTTAACCATTTCAGTTTAATGTCATTTTATTGTTTATGACCTCCAGAGCATCTGAAGGGTTTTAAGAGCGTCTGTTCTCCACGTCTCATGCCTCCAAACGCCCCCATGCTTTTGTTGTGTGTCAGCATTGTCTTCTGAGGCGCAAGTACATTTATTAAGTATAGAAAAGATTGACGCAGCTTCTTCTACCACAGTAAATTCTGGTTTTACTGTTGATATTTGATGCCAGTTTAATCAGGAAATTTTGTTCTCTTTGACTCGTTGGATGGGAACGCTGCTTTATTTGCACATCTTTTATGTGTTATTCCAGTTTTGCACAAATTTAATTAATATATTTGGATAAAACATATCTAATGCCTACATTTCAGTCACACAAAGAACAAAATCACATACGAGAATGGCTTGTCCTTTTTAAATAAATAATTAGCTTAAATTCACTGACCTTCAACAGGGACATGTACTCTTACTAGATTAATGGGATTATTTTTCTTTCTAAAAACTATTGTTTAGTTCAACCTCTATCACTTTATCAATAAAAAGGCAGACACGAGTGCTCTTAAATCTATTAAAACTGATCAATGTGTATAAAAGGTAATGTGTAAAAATTTTATAAACGTCACGCATAACATTACTTATACTTAAATGTTTAAATACTTTTTAAATGTAAAATTACATAATAGCTTGAGCTATTCCCATGCTAACTGTCTCTGTTTCACTGATGCAGTGGGGTTACATTTTTAAATATATGCTCATATTTGCCATAACTTTGCATGAGCACATCAAGTTCAGCTGGAGAAAGAAATGGTGATCTTTTTTTTAAGATATTGCCATACTCACTCGTAATTTCTGCGCTCCATTGATAATGCCTTTTTATAGTCTCGGTGTGCGCTCTTAACTCTGAGTTGGTCTACTCAAAGTTAATTAACCTAACTCAGATGAGCTATTCTGAAACCGAAAACTCAGAGTTTTTAATCTCTCTGCAAATTAACTCCGAATTCAAGTTTAAACTCCAAGCAAACCAAAGTTGGTTGAACCTCCTTACTAAAACAGGTCCAGTGTGTCCTTCCTTTAATTGTTTTAAAATCAAGTAATGCACCCTTCATTCAAACATTTCTTACATGTAATATGTGGGCATAATTACTGTACAAAACTCATCAGTAAACTGTGAAGGCAAAAAAATAAAAAAAAATAAAATAATCATTCATTAATCGCAATTGAGTTGAAACGTTCAATTAAATGAGATTTTGATTTTAGGCCAGATTGGCCAGCCCTAAACGGTATTGACTGATCTCTTCAGTTTAGTAGTGTCACCAGTGAGTGAACCTTCAAAACAATTAAATTACAACAATAAAAAAGCCACAAAGTGAGCCTTGCTAATACACCCATTTGTTCTCCCTTGCACCGTAATCAAAAAGAAAAAAAATAATTTAGGGATTGCTTTGAATCTGCCCCTTTTCTGCATTTCATTGATAATATATTGTTAGAGTATGTGCTGAGAAATGCATTTCAAAAGATAAAACTGATCTTGTCCAACTATCTGTTATTTGATTCCTCATTAGAATAGTTGGAATAATTCTGGAGATCCAGCAGGCACCAGATAGCCCACTGTTGTGTTCATTGTCTTGTACATGTGCAACATTCCTGCCATGTTGCCACCCTTTGATTTGTGTGTGTGTGTGTGCAAAGGGTCATCGCTTTCTAGATGAGAACAGGGATGAAACTGGGACACAGAAGCCATTCATGCCACACGCAAACACGCACTACACTCAATTCTCAGAGGCTTTTCTTTTTTTGTGTTGTGTAATGTCAACGATGAGTAAAGTCTGCATTTGGGTTTAAATTTTGTTCTAATTTTTTATGATTTTTTAAAATGTTTTTGAATCACAGGTTTTGATAACTATATACTGGTTGGGGAGGAAGGCCCAGTCTGATCCGTTTTACACCGGACCACAGTTGAACCTGAAAGCCTTTGAAGGTTTACTTGGCATAGCATTATCTAAGGTATTCCCATTTCTTCCTCTTATTTTTATTTGCTTGCATTTTGAAATTCTCTTTTGTTGTTTTGTCATTTTTATGTTTTTATTTTTTATTTTTTTTACCATTTTCATTGTTATTATTTTTCAAGGTTTTCCTTTTTTTAGGAATTCAAAATTTAGATTTATAGTTTTTATTTAAGTTTTTACAGATTAATATTAATTTTTTTTTTTTTTTTAGCTTCTAAATTTTGTTTTCAGATGATGAATGTTGGAAGTTTAAGTGCTTGGAAATGTTTTATTTTATTTTGTAGTTATTTTAATAGTTTAATATTTAATATTTTAATAGTATATATATGACATTATATGAAATGCTGGGTGGTATTAACCTATGGCTGGGTCAAATATAGACAAACCCAGCAATTAAGAATGTAATTTAATTGAAAAAATGATCCCAACATTTTATTTATTTTTTTTTAATCCAACCCTACTGTATACACTCACCAGCCACTTTATTTGGTACAACTGTTTGTTAATGCAAATGTCTATTTAGCCAATCACATATAAACAAATCAATGCATTTAGGCATGTAGAGATGGTCAAGACAATCTGCTGCAGTTCAAACCGAGCATCAGAATGGGGAAGAAAGGTGATTTGAGGGACTTTGAATGTGGCATGGTTGTTGATGACAAAGGAGCAAGAATGAATATTTCAGAAACCGCTGATCTACTGGAATTATCACACACAGCCATCTCTAGGGTTTACAGAGAATGGTCTGAAAAAGAGAAAATATCTAGTGAGTGGCAGTTCTGTTGAGGCAAATGCCTTGTTGATGCCAGGGGTCAGACAGGAATGGCCAGACTGGTTTGAGCTGATAGAAGGCAACAGTAACTCATTACAACAGAGGTATGCAAAAGAGCATCTCTGAAAGCACAACAGACCAAACCTTGAGGCGGATGGGCTACAGCAGCAGAATACCACTCAGAGAACAGGAAACTAAGGCTTTAATTCATACAGGCTCACCAAAATTGGACAATAAAAGATTGAAAAAACGTTGCCTGGTCTGATGAGTTTCAATTTCTGCTGTGACATTTGGATAGTAGGGTCAGAATTTGGTGTCAACAACATGAAAGCATGGATTCATCCTGCCTTGTACTCAAATTGCTTCCACAGTCAAAAGATCTTTAATCCAATAGAGCATCTTTGGGACGTGGTGGCACAGGAGATTCGTGTCACAATTGTGCAGCTGATAAATCTGCAGCAACTGCGTAATGCTATCATGTCAATATGGACCAAAATCTCAAAGGTATATTTCCAGTATCTTGTTGAATCTATACCACAAAGGATTAAGACCGTTCTGAAGGCAAAAGGATGTCCAACCTGGTACTAGTAAGGTGTACCTAATAAAGTAGCTGGTGAGTGTATATATTTGTGTGTATAGAAATATAGAAAGATGGATGTACAAACATATATTGCATTGTATAGGAATAAATAAGGATTAAGCACATTCCTCCTTGCTTAATTTAAAAATGTTTCACATAGTGTCAATACTTTTTCTTCCGTACGAGTTCCATGGATTGCAAACGCAATGCATAACATTATACCCATACTGTCTAACAAACAAGCTCCTCAAACATGTTCAAATCTCATGCTATTTGAACGCTTTGTTCTCATTAAGGACGTCATGCAGGTCCAGAATCCCCCATTATTTCAGGCCACTGTTAAAATGATCCACTCAGGCGTAAGTCAGTGTTGTCAGTCCTTGCATAGTAATTATCAATGCATTGAACAGCATATTGCTCTGTGTGGAAGTCATTTTTTTTCAGTCAGTAAAAAGTGTGTTCATTTAAGCTGTTATTTGCTATCCTGGCCCTCTCTGTAGTTTTTTGTGGTGTGTTCTTCTACCAGGCTCTGGAGGAGTTGGCACAATCCAGGTTGAGCGTGAGGGACAGTGGGTATTCGGAAGGCTGGTTCTCTGACCGAGAGGAGCTGTACAGTGTGAAGCAGCCAAGCTACAGGAGGGAGGATTCAGTGGAGAGCCTAGACTCAGTGGAGTCTCGTGCACTCAGCGTGGCTTCAGACCTCACTCTCAGAGCCGGCAGTGAAGGTAAGACTGCACTCTCTGTCTCTTATGTCTGCTTTTTTATTTATAAAAGATATTACACTGCACAGTGGTTTTGGAAATACACATTTTATAAGTTGAGCGTCTTTGCATTTTCATCAAGCAATTTTTATAATTTGATATTCCGGGATTCTGGAATGCTCTGATTGTTATTGTATTTGTGTACTGTTTGATTTGCATTAGATAATGGGTGCATATATTTGTTTGTGTATTTATGTGCAGTGATTTCCTGAATTAATTTGGTCACATTTTAGATTCTGAACGTATTCAATTCTGTTCATCTTTATTTATATGGCGCTTTTGTAATGTAGAATGTGTCAAAGCAGCTTAACATAGAAGAAGCTCTAGTAAATTGAAACTGATTAAATACAGTACTGTATAATGTACACTATACACTGCTCAGAGTAATAAGGTTTGAGTTTTTTTGTTGGGGAGGGGTTTGGGGGTAATCACGTGACACTGCTGTCTTCTGGTAAAGCTGCTGACATTGAAGCATTGATATCATAATATTTCTTATTATTGTAATGCAGTTAATTCTAATTCAAATGATTGATAAATGTATAAAAAGAGCAAACTGTTAAATTATAGTGTACATACCTTAACCTAAACGTTTGCATTTTGATATATTCTAAAAAAGGAATAATGATCATAGTTCAAAATAAATAAAATGTGCATATTCACCTTACTCTTCACATACGAGCTGGCACAGCCATTTAAATCTTGTTGGCTCCAGACTTCCGGTCTTATTCTCTTCTATTCATTTTTAGATGTTAAAATCAGCTCGTTATGCTGTTTAAAGACTGATGTTTTTCTGTTATATTATTCTGCTTTGTGTAGTCATGCAAACACTTTTTGACCACAAGTGTATTACAAACAAATAGTTTGACCACTTTCTGCCATTTATTATTCAGTTGCCTATGGGAGAAATGACTTGGAAGATCTAAAACGATCACAAAAAATGGCCACACTTCTGCATTGAAAATTCAGGTCAATATAGTGCATTTTCAAAGTCATAAATGATGTTTTACATTCGTATTTTTCAAAACAAAGCATTTATTTAAGCAAATATTTAGTCATTTCTATTTAGTGAATATATGGTTACTTTTTCCAATAAGGTTTCGTTAGGTAATTCATTTGGTAACATGGATAAAAAATGAACAATACTTGTACAGGATTAGTTAATTATAGCTCAATTTTCTAATGCATTATTAAAACCAGAACTGTTAGTTAACAAGAACTAACTGTTGACATGAATAATCATTAACTAATGCTAGCAATGCTAAATAAATACTGTAATATATTGTTCATTGTTGTTCATGTAAATGCCTTATTGTAGGCAGTGTTTTGGGTAATGCATTACAAGTAAAGCAAAGTTATTTAGTAATATTATTTTTCTAAGCAACAAGTAACACATTACTCTTATAAATTAAGTAATATTTGAGTTACTTAAAAAATAATGCGTAGTTACTTTTTAGTTTAATTACCTTTTAAAAATAAATGTCTGAATTAAAATTAGTCACAATGAATCATTCAGTCAATGAGAGAATGTGTTCATTATTTTGAACGTATCGAAGAAAAGGAGATTATCTCAATGGACAGTTATTTTTATTTAAGACAAATAGTGCAAAAGTTGCAAAAACATTGCTTTAAACTATAATCTGAATATACGGCATGTAAAGGAGTTTTCAGATAACAGTATCCCAAAATATCTTTTTTATGCGTTTTTATAAAGGTAAATGTTGGTGTAGGTTATACAGTATGTTGTTAATTGCAGAACTCCTCTATTAAAAACAAAAAGAAGAAAACAAGTTCTGAAAGAGATCAATTCTCAGCCAGAGGATGTAACGTAAAATTAACCCAAAAGTAATGTAAGGCATTGCTTACCATAAAAAGTAATGCAACTAGATATTTCTTTAGGGAGTAACTCAATATTGCAATGCATTACTTTCTCAAGTAACTTTCCCCAACACCAATTGTAGGAACCTTATTGTAAAGTGTGGCCAAATAAATTAACAAACATGAGCATATTAAACACACAGCATTACACTATGCATTCATGCTAGATGATTTTGGATCTGATTATTAAAATATTTTTAATAAGATTTTAATAAGATCAAATGAAATTTATGTGGAGTCTTTCAATACGACTGGGCCATCAATTAAATTTTAAACACTGTTTAAACACTGTCTCAACTCAGTAGCTTACATTTTAAATTTAACTGTGATCATTATATATATATATTTTTTTTCTATGTACATATCTAAAAATTCCAGGTGTAAATAGAAATGTTATCTTGACAAACTGTTGCATATGTATGCATATCTTGCATGTAAAGACTGAACCATAAAAACTGGGGTGTTGTGTTGTTTTTATTTTCCGCATTTCAGCACATGTTGGTCCATTTGGTTGTCATCACCAAAATTAGTGTCTTGTTTATTTGGCAACTTCAATATTGCATCTCTCAAACACTCGGTAATGAAAGTACAGACCCTTGTTTCTTCACCTCATCCATTCACATACGTGTGACATTCCAGATTATTCCACACCCATTCGGTAATGTTAAACCCTCTGCCAACGGAATACAAGTGTGTGCCAACAGAGGGTCTGCTGTGATATTGTAAAAGGCTGTCTACTGTCTCTGGGTTGTAATGTTACTAAAATTTATAGTTCATGCGTTTTAATAACTCTTAATGGTAATTTCAGAACACCAGCAAAAATAATGGGATATTTAACTTTTTTTTTTGTGTGTGTGAAAGTAGGTATGTATATACTGGCACATTACAAGTGTTGTGCACAACATAAGTCAAGATTTCCACAATGTTATTTAAATAAGTTGTCAGTAAAAATAAAGATAAAGGATATATATCAATAGACTGAGGTTAAAGCAGTAGAACTTGGAGTTAAATGAAGTGAACATGCATAAATTGAAAAATACATATATTGACACAAAAGACAAACAAAATAAATAAAAGGGATCACTGTATTTATTTTCTTTTTTTTACTCATTGCTTATATTATCTAAAACCTTAAATTAGTAAATATGTTGGTAAGAGAGAAAGAAAAAAAAAACAGAGAGAGCTCTATTTTACTCCTTGTTTTTTGGGTTTATGTAATACTTTTTATACCAGTCATAAATGTGCCTTAACTGTTTAACCCCATGTATAAAGTCATGAATCAAAGTATGAATCACTATTTGCTTTCACTCTGTCAGAGATTTATTTTCATGTTTTGTTGCAGTGAGCTGTGTAGTAATTGTTGAACGCCTGGATGCAGTGGCCTCTTATTTGTTTTTTTTGTTGAGTTTTGTTCAAGTTCAGTCTTGCAGATCACCTCATCGCAACCAGCAAAATCTAGACGGAATGTTCATTTCAGATTTATTAGTGTACAGGTTTTTAGTGAATATAATGGGAACTTTAGGAAGAGAACAGAACTCACATTTAAATCAAGTGATTGACAGCTCTAGTATTGCCAGACGTACGTTTTGATTGTTTTTAGGATATAATCATTTGAATAGCAGTTGTTTTTTAAGCTACTAACTTGAACTGAGTCTATGATTTACTGTAAATGAATTCCTGAGTATCAAAACTTTGTTACTGTATTAAAGAGTTCGCAAAGCTGCTTTGATAAATAATTGTTCCTTATTGACATGAACAGATGCTTGGTCAGGCAAAATATCCAGTTATCCAAAGTTAGAGTTCATGTGAAGGACTAAGACATTCTCTAACTAGCACTTACTAAACATTCAGAAAAATTAGCAGGCAAACTTAGTCTGTTTTTATTTATTGTTTAAGTCTTTCTTTTGTAGTGTTTGCACTAGCATGTGGGCCTGTCAAAGAGATATTTTCTCTGTTTCTGACAAATTCATTCATGTTTTGATCAAGCATTGCATTTTGCCATTCACATATAATTACTTTAAACCAGCAGTTTCCTTTTTTGCCAGGATACTTGTATTTTAATATTCAAATGACTCCTAAATGACTCCCCATGTCCTCCACAAACAATCAAAACATAGCATTAAAGAATAAAAAAATTTGTTTGTTGCCTAAAACTCAATTTGATCCAAAATGGCAGACGGTATGAGTAAAAATGTAGGTTTGGATGTTACACAAAACTAATCTTCATTGCAAACTGTACCTGTACAAGACTGTTGTTTCCTTTGCTTAGTGATGGTAGACTTTTTATTGTTGTTGCTGTTTTTTTAAGTTGCTATAAATAAGCTATTATTGGTTCTTAGAAATAATATAACCATCTTGACTTTGGTTTACCAGCATATTGGTATCTGCTTTATCTCTACTTCTAGCCATCAAAAATCTTTGTAAATCTTTGGTGACCCTGAAACCATTGCTTTAGACAAACTGTGAGAGGATTTAAAATGGCTACCTGTCAAAACTCTTTATCTATTCTATAACTAGTTGCTAATTAGCAAGCCAATTTTTAACATTGTCCTTTTTTATTTCCATGTATAAAATGTTAATTTGTATGATAATATTCTACTTCTTTTAGTCTAAACCCCCCTACATTATGGACTATTGATATGCAGCGAATTACTAGTTCGAGTCAAATGTTATAGTTAATAGTTTGTTAAAAGAGATAATTGAACCCTAACATAGTGTTTATTTTTTTAGTTATAAAAAACGTAGTTTTAGTTATAAATAACATAGTTATTATTTTTTACACACACACACACACACACACACACACACACACACACACACACACACACACACACACACACACACACACACACACACACACACACACACACACACACACACACACACACGTGTGTGTATATGTATATATATATATATATATATATATATATATATATAATTTTTTTATTTAAATATTTGTTTATCTATTATTATTTTATTTATTTTTATATTTATTTATTTTTATATTTATTTATTTATTTATCTTTATTTATTAAATAAGTTTATTTTCATTTATGTATTTATTTTTTTACTTGTATTATTAATACAAATTAGCCAACTTGACTGTTGATGGTTTATGCATTTTATTGAACTCCGGTTCCAGGTTGCTGTAGTGACGCAGAAGCAGAGCATTTCTTCAGGATGGCAGAAAGCAGTAAAAGTGGTGCCCCCATCAGAGAGAAGGCACATGTGCCGGCTGTCCTGAGGAAGAAAAGGCAGGATTACCAGCAGGGAAGCAGGAGTTATGCAGGCCACCTAACCAGGTATTTCTCATTTTTTTATTTCTTTTATTTTATTTTTTGCTCTTTTCGCTACAGAAACTGACTCTGCTTAAAAATGTTGGATGACAACCTTTCAAAGCTTTTAACTGTCTAGCTGGAAATCAAGGGTGTGTTTGCAATAGCTAGGGTTCACATTTGGGAAGTTTGGTTAGATTAAAATGAATGCAAATGTAATTGGTTTGTTAGTGTGGTTAATTTGAGTTAAAGTGTAAGCAAACATTGAATAGTTTGTGAAAGCATATCAAGACAAACTTATTGTGTTGTTCAACTGAAATGTGAACACACAATGAACCAAATTTATCTAATCAAACCTAAAACGGGACATGTTACAAAATATAAAAAAAGTAAAATAATATCTAATGCATATACGCATGTTTTTTGGTGCAGGGGTGTGGTTTGGTCTAGTGCAGGCATCAGACGTTTAATTGACAGAGAGTGAAAGTAGAACAAAGAATTAAGAAGAGGGGAATGTACAGTGCTGTTTTGACTCTTGAAAATTTTATAATTTAACATTTATAGTTTTACAATGTAACATTTAGAATTACTCATATTTCATAATTATACAGCCACATATAACACAACCACCACCTTATTCACACAAACAGTGCATCCGGAAAGTATTCATAGCGCTTCACTTTTTCCACTTTTTTTTTTTTTTTATGTTACATCTTTATTCAAAAATGAATAAAATTTATTTCCTCAAAATTCTACACACAATACCCAATAATGACAATGTGGAAAAAAAAAATTTTTGAAATTGTTGCAAATTTATTAAAAAAAAAAAAAAAAAAAAACTGAAATATCACAATTTTGATTTAGCCATTTTTGCCTTTGCTGTGAAACTCTGAATTGAGCTCAGGTACATTGTTTCCACTGATCATTCTTGAGATGTTTCTGCAGCTTAAATGGAGTTCACCTGTGGTAAATTCAGTTGATTAGACATGATTTTAAAAGGCTTACACCTGTCTAGATAAGGTCCCAGGGTTGACACTGCATGTCAAAGCACAAACCAGCATGAAGACAAAGGAATTGTCTGTTGACCTCCAAGACAGAATTGTCTTGAGGCATAAGGCTGGGGAAAGTTAAAGAACAAATTGGAAGATGTTAAGTGGAAGATGTTTGGAACCACTAGGACTCTTCCTTAAGCCGGCCGGCTATCTAAGCTGAGTAATCAGGGGAGAAGGGCCTTAATCAGGGAGGTGATCAATAGCCAGATGATCACTCTGTCTGAGCTCCAGCGTTCTTCTGTGGAGAGACGAGAACCTTACAGAAGATCAACCATCTGTGCAATCTGTCAATTCTCTGGTCTGATGAGACTATAATTGAACTCTTTGGAATGACTGCTAGGTGTTACGTTTGGAGAAAACCAGGCACCGCTCATCACCAGGCTAATATCATTCCTACAGTGAAGCATGGTGGTGGCAGCATCATGCTGCGAGAATGTTTTTCAGCAGCAAGAATTGGAAAACTAGTCAGGATAGAGGGAGAGATGAATGCAGCAATGTACAGAGACATCCTGAATGAAAACCTGCTTGAGGGCTCTTGACCTCAGACTGGGGCGACGGTTCATCTTCCAGCTGGACAATTACACAAAGCACACTGCCAAAATATCAATGGAGTTGCTTCACAACAACTGTCAATGTCCTTGAGTGGCCCAGCCAGAGCCCAGACCTAAATCCTATTGAACATCTCTATTGAGATCTGAAAATGACTGTGCACCATCACTTCCTATCCAACCTGATAGAGCTTGAGAGGTACTGCAAAGAGAAATGGGCAAAAATTCCCAAAGACAGGTGTGCCAAGCTTGTGGCATCATATTCAAAAAGACTTGAGACTGTTATTTATGCTAAAGGTGCATCAGCAAAGTACTGAGCAAAGACTGTGAATATTTATGTACATGTGATTTTCAGTTTTTTAAATTTGTAATACATTTGCAACAATTTCAATAAAATATCTTCTCATTGTGTGTAGAATTGAGGAAATAAATGAATTTAATCCATTTTGGAATAAGGCTGTAATATAATGTGCGGAAAAAGTGAAGTGCTATGAATACTATCCTTATGCACTGTATTAAACATATATTTTACTATGATGTATGTTTATTTATTATCATGATCTGTTCACTATTTATGTAGTTTAGCTTGTATATTTGTGGCATTCAAGAAAATGCCAACCTATTCTTTATTATTATTATTATTATTAATAATAATATGACTGATGAAAGTGTTATATTTCATTAAACGTACATACTGTAGCTTTTTGGATTTAGTGGTTTATTATTCAGGTTATATTTCGAGAATATATATTGTGCATGTGGAATTGTCTTTTCCTGAAATGATTGCTAAGATGTAACAAATCTGTTGAGTTTTAATTGAGGTGGTTTTCCCAGCTTATCTGCCTCATCTTTTGGCCATAGTGAAAGTGGGCATGGCTTATGCCATGACCTCCCTCCTGCCTCTGCCTTCCTCCAATGGGCAAGCAGTTACCAGAGTGACAGTGACTCTGACTCAGACCGGCCTGAAGCAGACCCTGAGCAGGACGACCTAGCAAGTCGCAGATTTCGCTCCGTAACCTCTGCGGCTCCAGTGAACTTTGCAATCCCTTCAAAGCCTCAGGGCCCCAGGGTGACCGCTTATGTGACCCCAAATGCTGGGAAGTCATGGCTCACCTTGTCAGATGCCACACGATCGAACCAGAGGTCAGAACTTAGTGAGTGTTTTGTATATAGACGGAGGCTACTGTGGTGCCCTAATATTTGTGCTCGAGTACATCCAACTGCTCCTAACATCATAAGTATTTATTGTGGCTAATTAACTGCATTTTTTATTTGCAAGAACTACTTAGTTTTTCCAAACTGTTATTCTGCTTTTGTGGAATGCATTTGGAAGAGTTATTGCTTGGTGTGGTTTGAGTCTTCACTAATTTGCTTTATTGTTGTCATAGGAATTTTTCATACAAACCAATACTGAAATATTTTAAATGATGCAGTATCGTTTTTCTGTGGTACTTCATACCATACTTTTTTATCAGGCTGGTTGAATTACTTACAATGTTGTGGCCCACCACAGTCTGGTCTGTCCCACCACTAAGGCTGCATTCTCTATGTGATCTTTCAGTTTAGCAGAAAGTTTACAACTCAATGTTAATAATGAAAACTTTAACTCAACGTTAAAAGAGATTAGTTGGCATGAATACAGCTATAAATGAATACAGATGTTTTCTTGACTTACTCTATAAGCACATGCACTATACAGTATAATGGGTTTAATGATTTTCATACTTTGCTAATGATTCATTTTAGCTAAATTAAGTATTGCTTAATTTACAAACCAGTTATTTAGCTGTCAATTTTACGTTTTTTTAAATTCAAATTAATTCAAAATTCAAATGAATTCCTCTGTATTTTAATAAGTTCTTTATTAGCAAACAGTCCTATATTTAAGTGACCAAATCTGAACTGGGGAATATTAAACTTTGAAATTCCTTTTAAAAATGCTGTAAGGTTTGGACTTTTCTAAAATTTAAAAATACCATTATATGTTTGCAGATATTTAGTGAAGTAAACATTCTTGTTTATCTGAAAAAACAACGCTGAAGTCAGATATTCTGCTTTGCAAATGTGCGTTACATGCCAGAACGTCTGTCTTTGTTTTGGTTCTTTAACCCACCCAATACCAGTTTAGCCAATTATACTTTGGCACTCTGGGTTGCCTTGGTGGAAAACCATACATTTCATTCATTCATTCAGTCAGGAAGGCTCTCAAAGCGTGCGTCTGTGACTAAAATGCGACCTGTGGTGAAAGTAGCAGACTTCGCAATAAAATGCAGTTCCACTTGAAGTGGTTAAAAGCAAATAATATAACTGTTACGAACATAAACATTTGGTGAGCAGGTTACGTTGTCCTATTCTGTGTCCTAACAACATGCTACATGATGAGATTTGCATTAATGGTGAACTATCTGCTGCTGCTTTCAGTAGTATGGCAATAAATGTCATGTAAAATGGCATTCAAACTCACATTATTAGCATTTAACACTGAATAAACCACATGAGGTGTATCTGAGACAATCATTATCTGTTTTCTGTTGTTCAACTGCAAGAAAGAGAGGATTTGTAAAATATTAAAATTCAGGCTCGTTTTAATATAGAAAATACTCACTTTATTGCGTAACATTGCTTTTACTCTCAACACAGTTTAAGTAACCTTTCAGGCTCTACAGTCAGGCACACTCCTGTTGGTATAGGCAATCTGACAACCTGTGCTTGTGAGTGTTTTGAACCAGGAGTGCAATACATAGTTTATCCACTGGGTGTCATACTTGCATACTGCACCTTTAATATTGACTTTCAATACAGTCTTTCAAGGCTCAGTTAAATTCTAAAAAGAAAAAGGAAGTGAACGCGATTCAGAACAAAAGTATTCATTTCAATTATACAAAAATGAAACCATACAACTGAATGAATTTTTTTTTAAAACTTATCTAAAATAAAATTGCTGTGCAGTTTAAACATTTCAGTCAATATCTATATTTTGTATATACAACAAATTTGATTAAACAATGTTATAATGTAACAATATAATAAAACATCCCAGTGTTAAATAAATTGTTTAATAATGAAAATAAGTGAAGCCTGTAGTTTTTCTTTAATGCAGTAGTTCAAATATATGTGTACTCCTTTATTATTTTTTTATTTAAGTTTTAACAGATCAAGTTAAAGTGAAATTTAGGTTTTAAAATTTTCTAATGAGCAAGTAAACATGCATACCTGTTGTAATTTTAATAATGCTCTGGCAATATACCAGTAGTAGTGAAAATGCTATCAAATGCAATATATACATTTTCATATCAAAGTTACAAAATTCAGCATAATGACAACAACAGTTTGCTGTTCATTCATCTCATTACCAGAACTAATTGTGGTGTGAAGTTGCTGTGGATTTCACTAACACTAAATCTAAAAAAAAGAAACTTAACTGTTTTTGCATGCATGTCAATGCATGTGTTTCTTTGAGTCATTTTTTGCACTGGTCTTATACGGATGGCTCTTTCTTGGGAAGCAGTTTGTCATCTATTCCCTCTGAAAATGGAAGGACAGACTCTGATTCAGCTAATTTGGAGGAAGAGTTTCTTCAGCGAGTCCTGAGTAATGGCACGAGTGACTCTGATGAGGACAGAGGATACGCTGATCCTGTGCTTGATGATCTGTATGCACGTCGAGTGCTTGTCTCTGAGCATCAGACCTCCATCAATGCAAATTCAGATAAGTTCCTGCCCAAATTCTGGACCCCTGAGGAAGACCTACACGTGAGAAAGATCAGACTAGGGTCACAGCGCAGACCATGGTATAAGAAAATGCAAGGTTTAAGGTTTGTCTGTCTATTTTATTGTTTTTTTTTCCCCCCATATTTGAACCATGTGATAGGAATAAAAAATAAAGCCCCTCTTTCATAGAAGTTCACAAGCTCATATGTTGAAGTTCGCTGGGCGATTAATCGAAAAAGAATCGAAATCGACATTTAGAACCTTTACTCGATTAAATATTTCCAAGTAAATTTTTTCATTACTTTCCCTACCGCATATGGAGGCATGTGACCCCATTCTGATTTATACTTCTGCTTCAAATAGTTGAGGAATTGTCAGGTGCAGCCTTCGTGTGGTCCCATACTTGCGCAATTTTTAAAAATTTTAACTACACATTACACGTTTGCACTACACTGACGATGATTGGAACCTGTGCCATTAACCCCCATAAAACCACTGTTCCACAATTGTAAGAACACACACAAATATTTAGTAGCTAAGAAGTATATATATTTTTTTTTGAGAAAAAAAATGTTCTTTAAATTTTGATGACATCAGTATTAAAGTTTTTTTTATTAGTTTTCCGTTTAAAAAAAATAAAAATTAAGAACTATGTAATAATTGTAGTCAGAAAAAAAAATCAATATTATTGATTTTGGTTTTATTGAGAATTTAATTATTTTACATAGATCCTTTTTTTTTCTTGACTATTTAAATTCTTTCTGTCTTTTCACCTTCTTGCTCTGTTTTTGTTTTCTGCTATTTTTTCTCTCTCTCTCCATCCTCCATAGCCGAAAGCAGTCTGGTTCCTCTGAAGATGACTGTGATTTTGACGTGACACCTTGGCTTGGTGCAACCGCTCCAAAGCTTTCTCCTGATCACAAATCCTCTCAAACCTTTTGAAACATTCTTCCTTTTCCAATTTTTATGTGTAGTTGTGTTGAATAATCAACTGAAGCGGTATATATTTGGAGAGGAGTATTGCTATATTAAATAAAAACAAAACAAAACCGATAACATTATGAAAATACATTAAAGCTTTTCATATTTAGTTATAGAGCAAATAGAGTATATACTGTAACAGATACTGTGTGTTTGCTCCAATCCTTTTGCTTATGTTTTAATTGAGCTTTATTTAAAGGAGTAGTTCATCTAAAAAAAACATTACACATTCGTCATTTTTTATTCCTCCACCTTTTCCAATCCTTTTTGAGTTTCTGTCTTCTGCTGAACACAAAAAATGACAGAAATTGTCTGCAATTATCTTTCGTAGTGTTTCTTTTATTTTTTTATTATTATTATTTTTTTTACTTTGGATCTCAGTGATTAACCGTTTCTGACATTATAAAAACAACAACAACAAAAAATAATGAACAAAAAATGTTTGATTAGAATAAATGAACCCAAAATGCTTTTGATCCATTTTTTTAAATTTTATTTATTTATTTATTTTTTTATTTTTTTATTTTTTTTTTTGTTATTTTGGATGAACTGTCCCTTTAAGCCTAATGTAGCAGTTGTGGCAATCTTGAGATGATTTTATTTTTTGCACTGTTAGTCTGTAAAAATGGCCTCTGAGACTGCATTTGTCCAGTATTTCAAAACCCTATAATTATTGTTTTTCTGTTGCTTAAGTTTTAAATTAAAGGTGCAGTATGTAAGTTTGACACCCAGTGATTGAATTAGGTATTGCACTCCTGGTTCAAAACAAACTCAAGCACAGGTTGCCAGATTGAGGACAGGAGCAAGTGATTTAAACCATGCTCTAAATAAAAGCAACGGCACCCGATAATAGGAATATTTTCTTTATTAAAAGGAGTTTTTGTTCTAACCAACACCTCAAATCGATATATTAGAAATCGCTTCTATTTCTCACAGATGAACAACAGAAAACAGAATTATCACCTCAGGTAAACCTCATGTGCTTTATTCAGTGTTATAACTAATAATGTGAGTTTGAATGCCATTTTACATGACATGTATTGCCATACTACTGAAAGCAGCAGCAGATAGTTTACAAGTTGAACTTTAGAATTTAACACACGAGTGATTAAGCATGTACAATTAATAATGTTAAAGAGGGTTAATATGTATTAAATACATTGTAAATCTGTGTGGTGAAAACAGCCAAATTGCTCATCACTGCAAATCTCGTCATGTAGTGTGTTGTTAGGACACACGGTTACAATGTAACCTGCTCACCTAATGTTTATGTTCGTAATATTTATATAATTTGCTAATCTCTCATTTCAAAGTCTGCTGCTGTCCAACGGTGGTCACGTTTCAGTCACGGATGCGTGCTTTGAGAGCTTTGTTTTTCACCAAGGCAACCAGGGATGCTGAAATATAATTGGCTAAACTGCCATTGGGCAGCATTCTGGCACGTAAAACATTTTCAAAGCAGAATATTTGACTTTAGCATTGTTTTTCAGATAAACAAGTGTTCAGTTTGCATTTTTTTTAAATATCTGCAAAATATATTGTTTTTAAATAAAAGATGCCAAACATCACACACAAGGTGCTTCCTTTTAGATTACCTTTAAGAGAAAATGATTTAAACAGTGTGTTTACTGTTGTCATTATTATATGTAAAATGGCAGTATATACTGCATATATTTTTAACTGATCCTTTGGTGTTTTTCGTACATTTTAATGTTTGTGATTGCTTTCTGTTTTATTGAAGTGTGTAATGTAATGTCAAATTAAGTCAACTTGAAGTGTCTTAATAAAAATACCGGGGCAGTAACACACGATTTGTGTGGATTTTATACTTTTGTATGCTTGTCTTTTGTTTTAATTTATTTGTTTGCATTACTTTTATATTGGTTGCTTTTTAATTTTATTATATTTGAATAGATTTTATTTTACAGTTATTTTAATTTAACAATATTTTAGTTTTTGTAGCTCTTCTTCTGTATGAGATATACTTTGATTTCATGTTATGGTTCACCCTAATATGAAATTAAAGCTTTTCTCTAGTCATTGACCTGTGGAAAAGAGTAAGTTGTAGATTTTTCACGAGAGGTGGTAAGTTTGATCAACATGATGGTGGGTAAATTAACTAATTTGTTGGCCGTTCCTTTTTGTGGTATGGGGGAAATTCCATAGAGAATTTTACAATAAAATATTTAATTATTTCCCAGATATGGCATGAGACGCTCTCGGTACACAGGGTGAGTTGTTGTTGTTGTTGTTGTTGTTGTTGTTGTTGTTGTTGTTTCTTCTTCTGCTGCATTTGTGCTTGTTGTATTTATTATTTATTTATTTTTCGGTGGTGTCCATGGTCATCTTGCGCTGAAAGTCGCTTGACTCCTTTTGCATGACTTTATTTTGCAGTCTGTGATATTTATGAGTTTGAGCTTTTATTTAGTTTGCTTAAGCTACAAAATTGATCAATACACAACATGCTTCAAGGTATGTAATACTTGCTAGTGATGTCTCCTGCAAATAAGCTTTGAATTATCCATGTCACATTAATGCATTTACCATTCATATTTGTTAGCTGAATTTAAGCGAATGGGAGTGCTGCTGTATATTTGAAATGAACTATGGGGAAAAATTAAGACCACTTGAAAATTCACATTTTTCCTTTATAAAAATCTTCTTGTATATTGTATTTTTAAATTGGGTATGAGCTAGAGTAAAATGTTATAGTTTTATTCTACAAAAGCCGGATATTTTCTTCCAAATTTCAGACATGTTTTCATTTGTTGTGATTAAAATTCAGGGTTGTTTATGATTTATACATCAGTTAAAGCATTGATTTTACATTTACATTTAGTCATTTAGCAGATGCTTTTATCCAAAGCGACTTACAAATGAGGACAAGGAAGCAATTTACACAACTATAAGAGCAACAATGAATAAGTGCTAAAGGCAAGTTTCAGGTCTGTAAAGTCTAAGAAGGAAAGTATTAGTCTTTTTTTTTTTTTTTTTTTTTTTGAGTACAGTTAGTGGTATATTTAGAGAGGCAATAGCCGATAGGAAGTGAAGTGGAGACTAAACAGATGAGTTTTTAGTCGTTTCTTGAAAACAGCGAGTGACTCTGCCGTTCTGTTGCAGTTAGGGAGTTCATTCCACCAACTGGGCAGATTGAAAGCAAGCGTTTGGGAAAGTGATTTCTTCCCTCTTTGGGATTGAACCACGAGGCGACGTTCATTCACAGAACACAAGTTTCTGGAGGGCACATAGATCTGCAGAAGTGAGAGCAGATAAGAAGGAGCAAAGCCAGAAGTCGCTTTGTAGGCAAACATCAGAGCTTTGAATTTGATGCGAGCAGCAACTGGCAGCCAGTGCAAACGGATGGGCAGCGGAGTGACATGTGCTTTTTTAGGTTCATTAAAGACCACTCGTGCTGCTGCGTTCTGGAGCAGCTGAAGAGGCTTGATAGAGTTAGCTGGAAGCCCGGCTAGTAGAGAGTTGCAGTAATCCAGTTTGGAGAAAACAAGAGCTTGAACAAGGAGTTGAGCTGCATGTTCAGATAAGAAGGGTCGGATCTTTCTGATATTATGTTATCTAAAATTAAATTAATAAATAACATGTCTGAAAACACATGTAATGATAAAAAAATTCTCTAAATGACACAATTTATATTAAAATTAAAAGAAATATCCTAACTTTTCACCATGAATCCAGAGAAACTAAACATTTTCAAGTGTCCTCTTAATTATTTCCATTGTCATATGTTTGCGTGCTATTTATCTCTCTTATTTCCTTCATGCTGCTAATGGCAGTTTATAATGCAGCACTTGCAGACTCTAGGTACAGTATCATGTCTTATTTAACCTGTAGATGTCACTGCAACACAAGGATTGTTTTGTAAATAGAAGCAAACCTTAGAAAGGTTCCTACCTTTTTTTACTTGAATAAGGATGAGCATTTACAAGACCTTGCTTTTCTCCATCTAACAGAAGCAAGTCCATGGGTGACATCACATTGGAGCCCATACCACAGGAATCTGATAACAGCTCCAGCTTTGACTCTTTGGGGCCTCTTCATGTTCACCAGAGGTCTGACGAAGAGCTGAGCCTCGATCCCTCAGCCTTACAGAGGGTTCAATACGAGCAGTTGCAGCACATCCGACAGAGAATGAAGGAAAATGAAGCCAAGTGGCATGAAGTGAGTGATGGTTTTTGGAAAAATGTTGTACATCACAATACTGAACACAGATGGTAATCACTATAAATATACTTAGTCAACAAATACTTTTGCCTTATGTGGTCACAAACTTATACTGTATGTTCATGTTTGTTTGTCTTCTGAAAAAATAAAAAAGTAAAAAATGTTTTGAAGAATTTTAGGAATTAAGCCGCAATGTATAACTATAAAAAATATAAAGCGGTGAGTGTGTGTTATAGTTTTTCTGGTTTACAAGAGTGGAAATATATTTTTTAACCTTTAAAAGACAAGAGAAATTTGGTTAATTATTTGGTTAAAAATTATATTTGGAAAAAAAAATAATTTTTTACATCCAGTATGTGTTGCTAAGCTTTATTTTACCTGAAACTATGGTTCTTGATTCATACAGTACAAATCAACAAATACTGGCTCTGTGAGATTGAAGCAAATAAACAATTCATAATACAAATTGCAAGTAAATGTAATTTATTTTGTTGTATTTTAAAGTGCAAAGATGGCATTGTTTGACTACTTGACAAACATATACACAAGTGTTTGATATCAAAAATTGTGTGTTTTTGACATGACATCTTGGTATTATCATGACAATATAACTTGTCAAATCTATCCTAAATATGATGTAGAAGATCATATTTAGAAGAAACTACTTGGCTTTATGGCCTAATGTTACATTTAACTGTCATGTGTTTGGCTTTAGCTGTCATGAGGCCATTATAAATGTCGTTTTTTCAATGTTATACTCTCTATTACTTGACTCTGATGACAGTATCATTGACTTCGGCGATTGTCATTTTAAGGCTGCTTTGAACCCCTCAAATTGGTTGCTTTGACATCTTGCCATTTAAGTCAGTAACGGATTGTCTATTTGATTTTGGTTAACGTGCAAAATGGATTTACAAAATAATCTAATTAATGGTAGGTGTACAGAGCTGTTCTCTAGTATGCCGCCTTTTCCCAACTAACCTCTTACTAGTTTATCAAATAATTTTAAAACAGCCTCATAAGTATTTTTCATGACCTCATCTACAGTGGTACAAAATAAATGTGTTATTTAAATGTCATTGACTCCTAATTGTTTTTATAATTATATATATATATATATATATATATATATATTTTAAACAGATGGTCAGATAATAGACCATTTCAAATGTAAAGATTAACAGGTGTTAAAGTAAAATCAAAAATCCAATAATAATTATAAAAATAGTAATTATTGATTTGCTTAAACATCTTTATTTTATCACTCTGCTGCTGGTATAGTGGTTTGTAGGGGTCCTTAGTGCACCACATAATGGGAAAACTCTCTTTGGAGTCTTTTTTTTTTCTCTTTTAGATCATTCACACATGACACTGATGTTATTTTCTGACAATTTTTTTTTTTTTTTCCCCTGTGTTTTTTTTACCTTCTTATTTGTCACTCAATTTTCACCTCTGTCACTGCAGGATCTGAGCAGGTGGAAGAGCCGTCGGCGGAGCGCAAACTCAGACCTGCACAAAAAGCTTGAGGAGAGAGAGCAGATTGAACTCATCACCACTGCAGGAGGAGCCAGCGGCATCAGGACTGCACACCTAACTGGAGTGCCAGAGGAGAGGTACATATTGTAAATACCTCTGTGTTTAACTCGCAAGTTCGCAACCATTGTTATTCAATAACTTTGTTAATTACCCTAACCTGCGTAGTTAACACAATTAACCTAGTTAAGTCTTTAAATGAAACTTTAAGCTGTATAGAAGTGTCTTGAAAAATATCTAGTCAAGTATAATTTGCTGTCATCATGGCAAAGATACAATAAATCGAATAATAAATTTGAGTTATTAAAACTATTATGTTTAGAAATGTGTTCAGAATCTTCTCTCTGTTAAACTAAAAATATACAAGGGGTGTAATAATTCAGGGGGGCTAATCATTCTGACTTCAACTGTATATGTGAGCAATATTTATTTTATACAACAGTTTGACAGCATAATCATTAAAAAAAAAAGAAAATCAAACACCGAGTCAAAAAACACTTTTGTATGAGGAACTACTTTCTTCCACCATTCATTCACATCTGCAGCTGTGGTCAGAACAGCAGAAACTGTTATTAATTCACCAGTGTCACTTTACAGCTTGTGTTTGAATTATTGTCTAGCATATCGTCTGAAGTGATGACAAAACGTGTGAATTTGCTCATATTTTAAGCTTATAAGGCTGAACGGCATGAAATGTCATCAGTCTACAGAGATTTCCCAGTATTTCTCTGTTGCAATCAGGAGATCACAATAATTATCAATGAAAAAAGCTAAAGTAGGGTAAACACTACCAGATTAATGATGTGTTTGGCATAAGGAAAAATGCTAAATACATGCAGTAATTTCTTCTTTCTTTCTGTTTACTAAACTAGTCTGCCGTAACAAAAACAAGAGACTCATTAAAAACAAACAGATAGCCAACCAAAAAGTAAGACACTACAATTACTATGGCGCTGTATCTCCAAAATTATAAATATTTAAAATGGGCACTATCCTTATAAATAAACTGTATAGTTGCAATCTAAACAACTACATACTCTCTTAAAAAAAAAAAAAAAAAAAAACTCAAAAAGTACATTGCTGTCTAACAGCTGCAATATTTGTTAAACTGTAGTGAGTTTATTGATCTGTGGTCACTGTGAGCAGATTAAAACAGAAGGGTGAGGAGGCTGCAGGCAGGATATTGCAGGTGCTAATATTGCAGAATATTGCACTGCAATCAGCCATTCAGATTCGAGAACCAACCAGAACTGTTGTGACACTGTCTATATAAATTGAAACAAACAAAAAAAAAAAAGGATTGGAGGCCATTTCATTTATCAAAATGTGTGGTGTGTGTGTGTGTGTGTGTGTGTGTGTGTGTGTGTGTCTGTATGTGTGTGTGTATATACATATCTATATATATATATACATATATATATATATATATATATATATATATATATATATATATATGCTATATTTCAGTTTGTTTGTTTTTTTTATTAGAAAAAAAAAAAAGTTCTCGTTTGTCAGTCACTTAAGTTAAATGCAAACAGATATGACTTGACCAAATGTGATAAGACATATTTTCCTGTACATTTTCTGCCTCTTGCTCATCTAAGATCATGGAAATTTAGTTTTTTTTTTTTTTTTTTTCAGTGAACGGAATTTGCCATATGAGGGTGCTTAGAGGGAAAATAAAAAATATTAAAATTAGTTTTTACAAATAATCATGATATATTGTGTCATTGCATGAAGAACGAACTCTTGAAAAATGGTTTTCAATCTTTTAAAACTGCACTATAATCACCTTCATGCAAACTAGAAACACAATTTTGTGAACATTGGGATGCCATGTACATGTTTCACTTGTTAAGTCAAAAGGAATGCCTTAGTACTTTTTTTTGTTTTGTTTGTATTCACATTAATAAGCCTGAAGTGTTTTCATCTGTATACACAACTTTCCAAAAATACAAAAAGGAATGTTTTTTTTTTTGTGTGTAGAAATTCCCTTAAAGTTGGTTAACATTTACTTTCATTTTAAGGAAAGAATATCATTTTACTGAAAAACTGCCTCTGTGTAGTTTCCTTTTTAGAGATGCTATGATAAATGAGATATTTTTTGTTTTGTCTTAAATGTTTCTTAAACACACAATAGCAGATTCCCTAATGCTGTCTGTACAACAGAGAAAAGCACCGCAAGGCAATGTGACAAAAGCCAGCAGAGCCTATTATAATCAGTCTGGTTGTGTTATGAAGTGACAAGTTCCCCAAGTCAACTGATGCCCATTCCGTCGAATGCAATAGTAGCTTGATATAAATTGCACAGTGCAATTTTCTTGACTGAGACACAATTTATGAGCCTAATTTACATAAGAGACATGCTTGTGCATAAAGGGAAATCAATGATTTAAATATTATAGATGCAGACAAATTTTTGCAGCTGTGACCGTTAAACTAGGGCTGGTAAAATAAATCAGACAATTGCGCTAGCGTGTTGCACATTCATTTAATCAAACACTGTTTCCATTCCATGTTTATGTTTGTTTATAAAGTTCATAAATGTACACTACTTGATGTATTGAAATAAGAATCAATATTTTTTTGCATCTGAACTCTTCATATATTCGCTGAACCTACTAAATGCATCTTTAATAATATTTATTTAACCTAAATTAATACATGCAATAAAATCTCTCATAATACCTAATGCTTTATCCCTTTAACAAGCAATGCAACTGTTGACCTTTTGGTCATAGGTTATTATCAAAACAAGAGCTCCAAAATTAGCTTAGAGTGGTGTCAGAAATACTATTCTCAGAGTGCAATAAAAAAATGTTAAAGTTGGTTAAACCAAGTGATACAGCTTTAGATTAAGCCATAGTTCGCGTTCGCTTGTGGATAATAGAGTTATTTGATAGTTACACCTGTCCTCCAAGCTCCCTCTCCTCCCCCTGCTCCCCTTTGTGTCCACTAATAGCCATGTGCTTTCCTGCCCCGTCTTCAAACTCCTGTCCCTGGATCAGATCAGATCACACATTTGTTCCATTTTTCTTTCTTTCAGTTCCAGCATGCCTGGACCCATGAGTGATGCAGGGTCCAGTGTCAGCAGTTCCGGGTGGTCCACCTCAGCTTCAGGCCTCGCGAATGGGGCGACTTCTGCTTTGACTCGAGGCACTGTTGTGGAGACCTCTGACTCGGCTCAAAAGTGCACTGGTGTGCTCTCGAGCCATCCGTCAGCTGTTGTCTCTGAGCAGACTTCTCAGAGCAGCCTGACCGCCGTGGATGCAGAAAGCGACGAGCAGCAGGGGCCAGACTTCAGCCTTCGCTCCAGTCTCCTGGAGAGCTTTTATGCAGGTGGAGCACGCATGTCTGCCACTCTGCCCAGAGGTTTTAGGAGATCAGAGGGTTGCTCACGTCTCTCCACAGGCGTCACACCACGTCCGTTTGGAGCCAAACCCTCCAAGATGCCTACCCTGCCCAAAGTTTATTCTGTAAGTGCTCTTAATCAGCCTTCCTTGCTGCCTTCTTCAACATTTAAAAAAAAAAAAAAAAAGTCAGGCCAAATTTCAAATCTTGATATGAATTTGGATTCTCATTGTGGAGGTGTTTTGAATGTTTAATGTGATCTAAATTTTTATTTAGTTTTTTTTACATGTGGTGTTTTACCACTTGATTTATAATTAATGAGCTACTTCACTTTCTCCAAACTGTGCATATTTGTTTCTGTTTTTAACATGTTTAGTTTTTTCAACAAAGCTGCATATTTCATGCTAAAACTGAACCTAAATTCACATTAAATAGAGATGGACGCAAGTCACAACACTTATCATAAAAAAGCAACAGTAAGTTTTAATTTTGGTAGTTTTGGTGGCATTTTGTATGATTGTATAATGGTTATTATTTGATGGTTTGTTTGTATTTGTTAGCTTTGACATCAAGCTTTCAGAATAGAAAAAACTCAACAAATGCACCTGTGATGCCTGGGTAGTATTCAGGATTTTTAGTAGTAGGTAGTAATTCATATTCTATAAATAATAAATTTTAAGTGGCTTAAATCTGTGGTTTTATTGCAGTGTCATCTAGGCATGGGCCACTATAGGATTCTAATGTATAATAATCTTGGATAAAAATATGGTTTCACAGTATTGTGATTACTGCTCTAAAATATATTCTTTTCTTTTTTTAAATGTCTGGGTAAAAAAACAATATCCCCATTGAACACAATATATTAGATTTTAGGAAACTTATTTTGGAAAAGTAAACATGTCAGGCTAAATAATTCAAATAAATAGTTGACTTTAGCTGTCTTCATTCGTTTCAAAAACACAGATTTCTTTACAGTTTAAAACAGCATCTTTATTTGCTGGAGATATTGTTTTCCTAAACAAACAAACAAAAAAAAGTCAATAAAAAATCTTAAATTTACAGTTGGAACAGTATAGCAAAATATTTTGGTCGTTTTAAAACCTTAACTTTCCAAACTTGCGGTATACCTTGAAAATGTTTATTGTCTCATGCCTAGTGTCATCCGTTAAAGCTATTTGACACAAACTACATTTTTTGACTCTGGTTCAGTTTCAATGAATCCATTCAAAGGAAATGAAGAAAATTAATTAGACTAATCTATTTTAGTGAATTTTGTTTCATATTTTTTTGTAGATTAAAAACATTTATGACTGCTGAGAGTGGTCAGGATTGCAGTTCTAGTGTAGTAAATGCGTTTCGGCTCTGTGATTTTTAAACATTCAACAATCTTAGGGTTATCTGTTTTTATTTTTTATTTATTTATTTTTTAAAATGTTATTTTAAGGTGCTATTGGTAAGATGGTTAACCATCTTTTTAGAGGTAGTAAATGAGTGAGTACTGATGGGTGATGTACTGATTGAAAGGGCTTTTCAAATTGTGGATGTGTAGGTGTAATGAATGATGGATATGTTGGTTAAAGATTTTACATCTTTGAGATGATGATGATGATGATGATAATAATAATAATATTAATAATAATAATAATAATAACAATAATAACAATAATAATAAGTTAACACTTTATAATAACTACAAACTGAGTCATCTACTAAGCATTAGCAAATAGATAATTATTTGCTAAGTATTTATTGTTCATTTAATACTGAGCCTTTAATAGTCATTTATAAGCGATTTATAAAGCATAAGTAGTCCTCACTTTAGGTCACAGAACTTGATAAAGTTGACTTAAAGCATTTATTAACATACAAATGACCTATTATTATATGCCTGAATAATAATACAGATGAGTGTTAATTTGAATAGTTTATTAATCGTTTACTTATGCATTCTGAATGATCTTAAAATAGCACCAACTATTCTTAAATAACTAGTTTGTAAATAATGATACCTAATGACAAAATAATCATTAATAAAGTATGAAAATCCAATCATTAAGCACATTATACATGTCAAGAAAGGTCAAGAGGTATAAAAGTCAAGAATGCAGCATTTGAACTGCTTACTAACATCTATTAATGTAGAGTTAATGCTTAACAGATAATGAATTCACCATTTGCTACTGCTTAACAGACGATTAATAGTGTGTAGTTTTTGTAAAGTGTTACCAATAATAATAATAATAATAATAATAATAATAATAATAATAATAATAATAATTATTATTATTATTATTATTATTATTATTATTATATTATTATTATTATGCAGAATATTTATCTTAAATGACACTTCACATAAAATTCTAAAAGTATAAACAACCCTGAATCATGTGCTGGACGAAACTATTAATCAGCCTTAAGGTAAATTACCAATTTAGAAAACATTGTAATTATGGTAAATATCATACGGCTTGTTTTTTAGAACATCCTAATTCAGTTTAATTTTATTTGTATAGTGTTTTGTACAACAATCACAATAATACAATAATCACAACAATCACAACAGATTTAATGTGAATATAAAATTGTTTTCGTGCGCTGGCACTTTTTCAGCCCTGACCTACAGTAATTGTTAGTTTCTAATTGGTACCCAAATGTGTGCGTCTCTCTCTCTCTCTTTCTGATAAAGCAGTGGAGGCATAAGGGCGGATGGTAGTTTGTGCAGTGTTCCGTGTGTGAAGTTTAGTGTTACTCCTCATTGCCTGATCATCTAGCGGCTGGTTTATGAATAATGAATTAAGCCACTACTACCACGCTGCACTCCGGGTGCTTCGTGAAACCCAAGCTATGACTTTGTTTTGTGTGTGTGTGTGTGCGTGCGTGCATGCTTTTCCATGATAGGCTTCTCAACCATGCATGGTCACATGCTCTGTTGGGCTGCTGTTATGTAAAAAAGCAATTATGTAGCATTTGTTTCAGTGCTTTCTTTCATTTTTAACTGTGGTGTTGTGTTATTTCATCAGAAGTTGGCTTTATACATGGAAATGTATGCATACTCTTTATAAAATGAACAAAAAAAGAAATGACGCTAAATGCAGATAGTTATTTTTTTTCAGTTTGGGTCCCACTTTATATTATGTTTTCTTAAATACTGTGCTACATTTTAAATTAATTATTTGCTCCAATGCACTTAATGTATGCATGTACCTGTACATGCTTTTACATTTTATAATTTGTATTGAAATGATGCATCTGTAATTAAGTTTTAACCCTAACCTATTTATAATTACACTGTTGACCCATCCATCCCTTACAATTTAACCCACCATTACACCTATCTATACCACATGTCTCTAGCCTTACCCATATCCCTGTTCAATAGCACCACAAGTGTTAAATACAATATGAGCACAATAAGTACTTCTTTTTTTATGTAACTATATAGCTAGTTGGTTAAGTGGCACTGAAACGTACGTAGTGTGAACATATGTGTAAAAATAAATGTAAATACTGCATATCAAGTTTAATACAATACAGAAAAATCTAATAGTAAAGAGTTAAGGCATCAGTCTGTTCTCAATATCAAAGTCTCAACAGTTTCAATATCAAACAGAGCTCACTGCAGGAAAAAAAGGAACATTTTTATATATCAGAATATATTGTGTATTGCCATACACCCAAAGCACTTTGCAATCATGTGGAGCTTCCACCTGGATGATGTGACTGCAGCCACAGGACAACAGGTGAAAAAAAAGAGAGAGTGATAGAGCCAGTTCAATGGATGGGGATGATTGTGAGGATATGCTGAGTATGGACTAAGGAATGGAAGTTTGGACTGGGTAATGACTATAGAGAGTGAGGACCTCTTTTTAAAGTTTCATCCAAAATACTCATTTACAGTATAGTGTCCCTTTCACTATACTGGGGCATTAGGACCCCCACAGACCACAGGTTTTGCACCCCCTGCTGGCCTCTCTTACACCAATTCCAACATCAACCTACAGTCATGTGAAAAAAATGTGGAGACTCTATGGGTATTTAGTAAGGTTTTATTTACTATATGGTTATTTAATCTGAATTTGAAAGATTGTTGTAATATAACTAAACAATTAAACTGCAAAAAAAATTCTTTAAATTTAATATTTAATTCTACAAAAATGCATATTCTAACTGAGGAAAAAGTTAGGACATGGCAATAAAGCTGCAGTCACACTACACTTTTTTTCCCTGTAGACTTCCAGTCATACGCACGTGAATGTGTCAGACCGGAAACGAAAGGTCATGCGGCAAGTTTTTCAGTTCGCTGGATCAAAAAGTTCAAGCTTGGTGAACTCTGACCTGCAAAATCGCATCACATTATTGCGTGAGACCAATTGAAGATCAAAACCTGACCTCTCTGGACTAGAATTTCTTTTTTTTGTCTGATCATCATGTTTAATCCCAGCCATTTTCGCAGTGCTGTACAGCAGAATTTCGCACGCACAAACTCTGGTGTGACCGAAGCATAAATGTGAGACATTTATTTACACTTAAAACGGCTCAAATCGCAGACAGATTAATCACAACAGGTGTTTGTTATTATAAATCGTTAAGCAGCATTTTGAATGAGGCTTGCCCTTTCTAAACCTATGAAATTTATTTTGGTGTGCTCCTGAATGTTGAAGTGAGAGAGAGCACAATGGTGAGAGCAAAAGAGCTGTCCGAGGCCTTTACAAAAATAAAAACTTGCATCCTACGAGTCTGGTAAGGGATTTAAAGAGATCTCAAAAGATTTTGAAATGAGCCATTCGACTGTCCATTAAATAATCTACAAGTGGAAGGCTTTCAACTGCCAACATGCCCAGGCCTGGTTGTCCCAGCAAGTTTACCCTCACAGCAGACCTCAAGTTGCTAAAAGAGGTCTCCAAAGGTCTTCACCAGACCTACTGAAGGCTCTGGCTAATGTTAATGTGAAAGTACATGCCTCTACAATCAGAAAGAGACTGCACAAGTTTAACTTGCATGGGATTGAAACCTTTGCTTTCTAAGAAAAAACATCAAGCCTAAACTGAAGTTTGTCAGAGAGAATATTGACAAAGACCAGGACTTCTGGAATAATGTTCTTTGGACTAAAATTGAATTATTTGGACACCACAACAGACAACATGATTGGCGTAAAGCAAAGACAGCTTTCCAGGAAAAGAACCTCATACCAACTGTGAAGTACATAGGGGGAAGTGTTATGGTTTGGGGTAACCTGGTCAGCTCACAATCATAGAATGCTCTATGAATTCTAGGGTGTGTCAGAGGGTGTCAGAGGAAGATGTGAGACCATCTCTCTGAAAATTAAAGCTGAAGCAAAACTGCACCATGGAGAAATTGCCAAGTCAAAGCTCAGATCTTAATCCCATTTAGATGCTGTGGGGTGACTTGTAACAAGCTGTACATGCAAGTAACCCCTCAAACATCTCACAGCTAAAAGAATTCTGCATTGAAGAGTGGGCTACACTTTCCTCAGATTGATGTCAGAGACTAATAGATGGCCAGCCAAAGGGGGTAACCTTTTAGCGGTAGGGTGTCCTAACTTTTTTCTAGGTTAGAATTAGCATTTTTCTAGAATTAGATTAACAAAATATTTTTTTTTTCAGTTTTAATTGTTTAGTTATATTGAGATTCAACATCCGTATTAAAAAAAAAACAAATATAAAGGCTTTTATAGGGTGTCCTAATTTTTACACATGACTAGATTTCCCATGTTTTCTCCCATCCAGGTACTAGCCAGGCTCAGCCCTTCCTAGCTTCAGTGAGCAACCAGTCTTGTGCTGCAGGGTGAAATGGCTGTTTCAATCTGAAATGTTTGTAGAAAAAGTGGCCACTTTATTTATTCGGATTCACCCTGTGTTTCTACAGGTGGACGACTCGCATAAAAGCCTGATCAGTGGTCACAGAGACCATTCAGCCGTCCCCTCTTTTCTGGGCGGTCAAGGGAAGGTCACAGCCTCTGCTGGCAAGGGCCACTCTCGTTCAAGCACTCATCCAATCAACCCTAAAGAGGAAGAGACCAGAGATGGAAGGTCATCAGCACCTCCAATGAACTCTTATGCCACTAAAGTGACCATGACCACGTCTATCATCCAAACATCTCCTCCTGCCATCTCAGAAATCAGGGATGTAAAGGTAGGCTGTTTGATGATATAAACCAGTCAAATCAAATCATGATGATTATTTTATGCAACATACATTATAACCACACAACAAAAGCGGAATATAGCACAACATGATATATGCAACATGAAATAATGCACTACAGATACAGTGCCTATATAAAATCATCATACACTTTTAAAATAATTACTTGATTTGTCATACAGCCTGCAATCAAATCACATTCTAAAGACCTTTTTCAATCTTTATAAATGTTTTTGTAGTTATCTCCTAACCTTTGCTGTTCTACAAATGTATTCCGAAGGTTTTTGAAAGCAGGGTGTAAAGCAGAGATGTCCCCCCCAAAAAAAACATTGTTCATCAGAGTTTTGTTTATAGACATTAGGGCTTTAACAATGACTAAAACAACATTTCAAATGTTTTGCAACGTGGTCGTTTTTCTGGATTGTATATTAATACTATCCTGCTCTGCCCATATTTGCTATGACTCGATCAAGACAAAATCATATAGTTTTTTTTTTATGTGTATACTGGAATTTATTCTGTAAATGTGTTCGCTTCATATTGTGTATTTTTTCTTATCAGATACAGTTTATCAGTTATGTGTAAGTGTATGTAGATTTTCAAAATATACTGTATGTGCATATTGGTCTTTCCATTACACATTTTTATGCAATGTTTCAAAATGCGCATAAAAATAGGTGGCTAGAAACAGCTATTAAAGGCAGCGGATATAAAAAAAAAAAAGACAAGTAATACCATAAAAAAAAAAAAACACTTTACACTAGGGCTGGGTGATAAAATCGGTATAAATATTTATTGACCAAACACCATTTTCTATAGGCTATAGTTTTATTAAAATGTTGCTGCTGAGAGTGCGCGAAAGGAATGCCAATGAGCTTAGCGTGTAAGTTTTTCATTTCCAATGGAGTATCGCGACTTGCATGATGCGCACATGGTGTGATTCATGCAAGTAGAACTAAGCGATTTCCTTGACACTTTATATGAAATATATATACATAATACGTTTCAGTAAAAAGGATAGACTAATTACAGACTGACTGCAGTGCTTTTTACTTTTCTCCATAAACTTGCATTGGAGCTACAGCAATGGTTTGTCACCTTGAGAAAACAGTTGATGGTCGCCTAGTTACAAGAGACGCCATAGAAAATGATGAAGGAAACCACATGCTTGCACTTGTCACTTGAGGTCAGAATAACAACATGCGCAAAAATGAGTGCCGTATAGCAGCAGGGAGGAGATTGTAAATAATAATAAATAAATAAATAAATAAATAAATAAATAAATAAATAAATAAATAAATAAAAAAAAATATATATATATATATATATATATATATATATAGATATATATAGATATATATATATATAGATATATATATATACATGTATATAGATGTCGTTAGAGTGGTTTTTTGGTTTCTTTTCTTGTGCATCTCAGATACCAGCACCCTTTCTGAAAGATTTTTTTTAGCACATGGGGTAATATAGTCATTAAACTTCACAATTTGTAATGTTTAGCATGTATTTGAAAAATGATAGATAGTTCCTTTACTTGAAAGCTCAGATTTGATTATCATAATGTGTTTTGTTAACAGAGTTTGAGGTTTATTGTATCATTTTTATTGACACCCTACAGATGTTTATTTATCAATGCACACACTTTGCAATATATTATTTATCAAGTTAGCGAGTCTCTTTAACACTTATGTTTATTATAAAGAGATCAGCTACTTTAAGTATTTTTATATTTGACTATAAAAACTATTTGCCTTAGTAATCTTAGTAAATCAAAATAAAGTTGTAAAAAAATCGAACATTTCTAAAAGTATTGTTAAAAAATATTCAATAATTATCAATGTAGAATGATTTGAAACATGATATTGTGATCTTTTTTTTTTTTTTTTTTTTTTTTTTTGTAATATCGCGCAGCCTTAATTTACACAACTTAAGATTTTTACAACCAGAATGAAACTTAGTACAAAAAAGTCTAAATGTTGGCCCAAAATTTAAAAACACAAAACCACTTAATCATTTTAGTTGCATTAAGTTGCATCTCCAGGCCTTTCTTCAACAAATTTATTCACAATATTCCTGGTGTTTAATTTACAGCTTCGTGCATTTGCTCTAGGATGCCCCAAAAATGTATATTTTGGGTAGTTTTTGTGTCGCTACTTGCTTTTCCTCTTGTTTTTAAGACCACACTTTTATGTTTATATTTATATTTATTCATCATTCGTTTAATGCTGTTAGCTAACCACTAACATCTGATCTCCAGTGTTTTCATTTTGTTCCACAAAAACAGCGTTTGCGCGTAATGCAGCATTATAAAATTTACAGCTTGTAAAACAACATATAGATACAAAATCGTGCCAGAGTAATTAGATGTTATAGAGAAACAAGAAGACATGCATACACAAATTATATTTATTGTGGCCATGAATTAAAAACAATTTCCTTGTTTTGATGGGCAGACCCCGAGTCAGGCTAGGTCCATTTGCTAGTAGATGCCACACCACTGATGTATATGATCACGCATTTCATAGTCTATCAGTCTAAACGGAGAAATGGTTGTATTCATTTTTAAATGTTTTGTTGTTGGTTGGTTACATGTACAATAAAATATTAAGTATTGCTGTTTTATGGAGAGAAATGTCAAGACACTGTTAAGCTTAATAGTTTATTCTGTTGCCAATTGAAAAAAAAAATATATATATATGAAGGGGTATAATATTATTACCTTAAAAAATATTTTAAATTAAATAAAAACAGCTTTTACTCCAGCCAAGCTAAAATAAATAAGACTTTCCCTGTAGAAAAATGTAGACTAGATAAACGCTGTGAAAATGTCCTTGCTCTGTTAAACATCACTTGGGAATTATTTGAAAAATAATTCACTGGAGGGCCTAATCGTTTTGCCTTCAACTCTATGTACTGAACGGTTTGTGTTATACAGACTGAAGCAGATTTCCCGAGGAAGAAGGTGTCATGGGATCCTCAGGTGTCACATTCTCTCTCTGTATCTCTCTCTCTTTCAGGTGGGTCAAAGTGAAATGCGAGTCTGCTTGAATCAGAAGCCTAACAGCGGGAGAGACTTTGGATTCAAGGCTCACTGGGACTCAGTTGGTGCTTATGTTAAATCTGTTCAAGCAGGTAAGACTTAATGGTTTCTGTGAAGTGGTCGCTTTAGATGTATATGGATGTTTCTCCGTGTTTTGAGAAATACGGTGCAGCTTTGGAGAGGTGTATGTTTACTCGCGAATGACTATATGAATAGAAGAGAACTGCGTTTAGGATTTATTTAAGGCTGATAGGCTGTTTTTGCTTCCAATTACAATACATGTATGTAGCATTTGGGATCTCTGTTTGCATACTCTTGTAGCTTTTAGAGTTTGTGGATGTTTATGTATCCCACTGTGTCCTTGAAAGATCTATTTGTAGCTTCTTTGAATTTTGAGTGGTGTTTGTGTATTGCTAAGAATGTTTCTGTTCAGCTGAAGTTTTTTTATTCTTGGGATTCTGGAGAGAGACTGAGATGCTGAATGATTTATAGAGAACAGTGAAGGTGTTTTACTCTGCATTAGTCTGATTGGTTAAACTGAAGAAGTCTTGGAACCTGTCCTCTAGACAGTCTGGTCTTGAGCTTAGGATGTATCCTCATGAATGAGAAGAGCATTCATGAGGTGGCCAATTTAATCTGTGAATTTTGCAAATGCAAAAGCAGGTCAGAGTGACCATCTGGATAGCATAGAGCATGTATTTGGGTGCTGGAAATCCTTGAAAATGCTTTGATTTGAATTTAGTTTAAAAAAAAAAAAGCTGCTTTAAAATCTCATTTTGTTCCTTTCATCATAATGTGTCTCACCAAATAGGTAATAGTAATTAATTATTTAAATAAATAATTATGATTTTGCATTAAGTCTGCACTTGTGCCTTTAAAGTGATCTGTAGGAATGCCTCAAAGGGTTTGGTCGCTAGACGATACCATCGTCCAATGCGGATGGCTGATAGATATCACGATGCTGAGCCAGCAGTCCCGCCCTCATCGCAACAGCAACCCACTTGTTAGAAATACACAGTTAGGCTCTGTTTACACTAACCAGTCTTAGTATTAAAATGGCATTTTTGAATGAAAACGATCCACGTCCACACTGGCATTTCATCTAGCATTACTGAAAAGCCCTTCGTTCTCTCTATGCCTCTGAAAATACACATCACATGCTCTCACACACTCTAGCATATGCGCACGCCTGAGCTCTATGCAGACAGCGGGTGCTTTGAACACAAAACCCCAGAGAGCAGTGCCTGCCGCACAGTTTATCAAGGATGTACCACTGGATTGTGTCTCACTAAAGTTGGTAAATGTGATATTTGATCAATCTTGTCTCTATCTAACGACTCTTCTGTCTTTTGAATCTTTCAAGTAATGTGTCACAGTGTCAGTACACTGCTTTAATCTTTCGCTGTCACGCTTGCACTTTGTAATTTTAGTGAAAACCTCAGATACTGTTGGTTTGTTCCTGTTGGTCGTGCACCATTTTTAACAACTAAGTTTGTTGACGCCATTATTAAGACAAAAATCACTTTGTCTATTCAAGCCAGAGTCCCATGGAAAAAGGGATTGACAGGTGGTAATTTGTGTGTAGCTTATTTTTATTTATTTATGATTTGATTATAGGTAAAACAAAGACCATGCGGGTCAGGTAGTTGAAACGGTAGGCTACAAATAATACATTTATTATAAAGTAATTAATTATTCATAAATTTATTCACATAAGAAATTTATTATACAACATAGCCCAATCCTAATAACTCATATAGACCTCAAAATATATCACAATATTTTCTGGTATTTATTGCAATTAACAATGTAATATATTATATAATAATTTAAGTATAAATTGAGAGACAAAAAACTCCTGTTTTTAATTATATTTTTGTTATATTTTATTAATTTTGTATTTAAAAAAAAATGTAACAGGTCTTCAGCCCTGCTTACTATCCAGTAGAGCTCAACCATAAACAAACACACTGAAACAGCTAATCAAGGTTCTTATAAGCTCGGGTCAAGATCATGTAAAATACATAAGCAGATTGGAAATAAACTTTTCAGGAGCAGATTTAAAGACCTATAATATAATATATGAGACCTGAAATATTGTTGTAATCACATATTTTAGTGTTATTTTGGTTGATTCACACTCGATGATAGAGGGCGCCTTCACATATGAACAACACCTAGATTACTGAATACATCAGCTATTGCTGCTGCAGAATAAACGCTTGTGACAATAGCTACACTTCCATCCGCCTATTTTTATGCACATTTTGAGGGAAACCCCAAGATGCGCATTTTGAAAGTGCGTGTAAAAAAACATATGCACATAAGTGAGTAGAATAAACTTTTTATATGATAAGAAAAGATGAGAATAAACTATAATGGTAACACTTTTCTTTAACAAATTTCACTTTAAAAAGGTTAAATTAAAAAGGTAATGTGACTTTGTTACAAGAGATCATGTGATGATAGTGTGTGTGCTAATGGACAGACCAGCAGGATAAGCACACTGTAAAGCATCTAAAATGTTGTTTTGGTGATTCTAAAATGCCAGTATCAGTGTTATTATATTATAAATTACCTCTAGAATTGTCAAGAGCGTCTGTTTTCACCGTCTGATGCTGTTCTCAGTGTCTGATATTTTAATATTTGCCACCAGTTAATTAGGAAGTGACAATTTTTTTCTCTTTGTCTACTTGGATGGAAAGGCTGCTTTATTCGCATGTCGTATATGCAATATTCCAGTTATGTGCATACATTTAATTAGCATTTTTGGATTAAAACATAGCTAATATCTGGTTTATTTCTGTTCTTCTGGGTATTTTATAAGCATGAAGTACATTTATAATGTAATTTTAATTTACCTAGTTTTTACCACTGCATGGAATACTAGAAAGTCCATGTATGTTCACAAAAAAAGAGAGATTAAAATCACTTAACATCAATTTTGTCTTTGAGAAGTGAAAGTATTTCAGTAAATCTGTTTGCAAACAGGCTCATGAACGCAGTCCTGTATTGCACACACTACTTTAGAAGAATCATTCCACGGATCAGTGATTTATTAATATTACAGTACGTCAATTATTTTTATCATGGGCAGAATTTTTGTTTGCAAAATGAAAGTTTCATGGGCAGAAAAAAAAGTTTGAATATGCTTCTGTAATTTGCTTATAAAATGCCTAAATTTGACTTTGTAAAAAGTAAGACCCAGATCTTTTATATCAGCTTTTGTGTGCATCGTTGTGTATAAGAAAATTAAAGCATGTGATTTTGACTCATGGCATATTTTTAATAACATGTTTGATGAAGTTTTGAGAAAAACTATGGCTGAAGAGTCAGATTGACTTCCTTCCCTTGAATTCTATTAAGCACGTTAGCTGACAGACTCTTCAATGATGTATGATTTTGTTCTGTTGTTTTGCTAAGGCCTATTTAGGCCTGTCAATCATTATTAATTAATAATTCATATTTTTCTGTAATTAAATTAAGGGTAAAATAAATGTCTGAAATATTATCGAAATTTAAAATACCTCTTCTTGCACTTTGAGATAGCTTTTTACCACTGACATCTGTAATATTAAATAATATTAATAGTAATCCATTTAAGTAAATAAATATGCTATTATATATATATATATATATATATATATATATATATATATATATATATATATATATATATATATATATATATAAGTATTCTGTTAATTTGTTGTATTTTTTCTGCAATTTCAGCAATGTAATTTTGTCCGCTGTATATATTTGAGTCCAGTTATACTTTATTCTTTGCAGGGATTTTTTCTTGGACTCAAGCAGCACATTTGTCTTGGAGTCAATCCACATATAACAAAAAAAAAAGACAACACAACATTAACCAAAAGCAGTGGCATTTAGGTAGTTTACCATTTAAAATGCTGAAGGATATTGGTATAAATGACTTGTAAGGGTTATTTTATAATTTAAGGATCGTTTTATCACTTCCCCGATGGCAGTACTTCATACATTTGAAATAAAACACAATTTGGCTCATTTGCTATTATTTGGCAGTCCTAAAAACCAGCAACTCATAGGTTGACTTAAGTGATGTAAACTCTTACACTCATCACTTTCATGGCAACTTTGTATGTTAGCATGATACGTGCAAGTTCTGTTTTTATTGAACTGAAAGATTGCCTGCATACCATAATTTAGTAAACCTTTCAAAACTACATGATAAAACAACCACATGGTATTTTTTTCTTACTCCAATCAGACTGAATCTCCCTAAAAAGATTTATCGGCCCTATCATACACCCGGCGCAATAAGGTGCAAGATGTATATGGTGTGATTTGTTGCTATTTTCAGACCAGCACAACGCTAATTTTTAAATGGCAAATCCATTTGCGCCACTTTGTAGACTTTGTAGACTCCAGTCTAAAAAGAGGGTGTTTTAAGGTGCATTATTTGCATGATTGCTTTCGTTAGCGTTCCTATTATTATTATTCTTCTTCTGCTTCTTACGCCGGATTTGAATGCAGCCCATATAGGCATATGCAGGAAAGTTGTATAATTTGGCACAATGATAGGGGACAGTCTTAACATTAATCAGACCAAATATGAAGTTTCAAAATCCAACTCTCTAGCACCACCACTTGTCCAAACTTTCACGTATGTTTATCATGATAACTTTTTAACCGAACGGGCTACAATCAAAATTCTTTTTTAAAACTGGTCTCTTTACATCCGGCAGGGCATGTCGAGTCGAATGATGTCTGATTTTCACAGGTCAGCCATTTTGGGCGTCGACCATTTAGATTTTTGGCCAAAAATGCTACATTTTACCAACACATTCACATTTCATTACAAAACATGGTATGCATCTTCAACCCCATGCCCTGAAAGTACTTAAAAACTTCTGGAGCAGTGCTTGGCTTGAAAAGTGCTTGGCTCCTTTATTGCTGCTTGCAGATATATTTTTTATTGTTGTTGTTATTATTTTTTTTTATATTTATTTGTGATTATTTTCTCAATGCTTTAACAAAACATTTTGTACAATCAAGGTTGTAATTTTTCCCCCCATTTTTGAAAACTGCTGCCAAAAAGAATTCGCAAACAAATTAGATTAAAATACAATTACAACAGGATTACAAAAAAAACATTACAAAATAGAAATAATTATAATAATAAAATAAATAAATAAATAAGTAAAAAGAATAAAATAAGAAGAACTCAAAATAATAACTTAAAATAAACTTTAAAAAATAATTTAAATAAATAATTGATTACAGTATATAATACAAATTAATAATCTGATACATTTATAGTGGTCTTTTACATGCATATAAAACCAAACCATATTGGTGATCACAGTTAAACCTGTTTGCACAGAATCCTTTATAGAAATCAGATAATCAAAAGTCTTCCTTTTTTCTAAATATGTGACCCTAGCTTGTCATGTCTCATAATTTTCTTTTTTGACAGATCCCTTCAATAAATATTTCATTTTCTATAATTTCAAATATAAAATAAGATCACACATCCACATTGAAGCTTTAGGTGAAGCTGCTGATTTCCACTCAAGTAGTATTCTTCTCCTTACAAATTCTTCGCTAACAAAGTAGCGAAGGCGGTATAATTTTTTTCCTTGTTTGTCAACAATATCTTTTGTTTTGGTACACCAAAAATAGATAACTCAACACCAGGTTTTATCTCTAAATTAAAGGCATAGTTTGTTATTATTATTATTATTATTATTATTATTATTATTATTATTATTATTATTATTATTATTATTATTATTATTAATAATAATAATAATAAATATTATTTTCTACGTAAATGTAAAAAAAAACACTAGTTTTTTTTGTTCACACTTTGTTTTTATTGTTCATTTATTCATTTGCTAGAAATTAGAACTGAATTTGGAAATGGTTTTGAAACAAATCTTTTGTGCTCAACAAACTAAATTAAATATGTAGACTATTAAATGTCTTCAGTGAATGGCGTAAAACACAGTTTCCTTATCCACAAAAGTAAAGGAATAAAGTAAAGAGAAAGTAAAGAGGCCAAATGGAAGAGGCTCATTCTTTATTCTTGTGGTAGTGAAGCATTCAGTTTTTCCACTTACAAAGTGCACCATGTAAATAGCAAATGCACCATGGCGCGATGCAGCTGACTCTTGAAGGGAATGGGAGATAAGACTCTGATTGGTTTAATGCAGGTTATGCTCAAAACACACCCATACCTCATTAGGAGAATAAGCACAACCAATTTAGGCGCAGAACATATTTTTCTATGCTTAAAACAGCAAAAATGGATTCGGACATGCCCTTAATGGTTTTGCGCCATGCACTTTTGACTTTGTTGGAACTATTAGCAGAGAGGGTTTGATGTGGGCTTTCCCACATGCCACATTTCTTTAGGTAATAAGCTTGTTTAAAACGTTTCAGCTTGTGATCCTATTGCTAACATATATCAGTGTTTCCCATACCATTAATTTTGGGGGGTGACCCATCCCCTTAAAAGTCAATTATGACAGTGAAGATGATTGAAAGTGATCATCCTAAATAATCCTTTCCCTTTATTCTGCATCATAGGCAGCCCAGCAGAGTTATATGGTCTGCTGATGGGTGATGAGATTGTGGCGCTGGGAGGACGCAGGGTGGATGAAATGAATTATGAGCAGTTCAAAAGCAGCATGGAAACAGCACAGCAAAATGGCACTTTATTGATGGACATCCGACGGCACGGCCAGAATGGTGAGGATCTGTAAGAGTGTATGAGCCACAGCATCATTTCAGTATAATTTAGTGCTTCTAACAAAGGAATTTGTACAAACACAAATCAAATGGCTCATTAAATCACATCTATGGTCTATTGTGGCACTTTTCATATGTGGAGTAGAATATTGCATGCATGTACTCTGGAATTAAAAGACAAAGGATTTGTAGAAACGGCAGCAATTTGATGTTGGGTATTATTTTTTCTTGTCTGTCTTTGTCACTGTGGGAAGGTGGTCTATCTGTCTGTCAGTCACTGTCCTAGCTGTAAAAAATACCTGTAAATTAAGAGTTTTTTTCATATTTTGTGATTCATCTTTTTTTTTTTTTTTTTAAGAGATTTGTTTACTCTTGAATTGCATTATGGGACCTTGATATTGTAAATTACAGTGTGGTACAAAAACCTGATATTAAACTGCCAGTATTTTTTTTTGTTTTGTTATTTTAATAACTTAATCCTTTATATCTATTATTAATCATACATTGTATTGTTTCAAACTACTAAAATGTCAATAAAAGTCATTTAGTTATACTGCTGCATTCAATTTTGAACATCAAAAGTAGACAAAGTGGAGATCAAGGTCATTAAATACAATTCATAACCATAAAAAATGGAAAACAGTCGACGAATCACAAGATAAGAATACCTTAATTAACCGATATTTACAGTATGTATTAATATAGTTGTATAAAGACCTGCAGCTTCATGGGTTTTCACAATTGCACCAGTAATCTTTCTTCATCATTTAAATATAGGCACAGTTAATTTCAATAATCACACATGATTTTACACAAACAATGGTCAATTCTGGTTAAAATCCTGATGTACGTCACTGACAAGTTCACTCATTTGTGTCCTTGACGTTTCTTAATTGCTGATGTATGTTTTGGGTACTGGACAGACTGGGGCAGTGGCCAACCTTCCCTACCATACCAGAGCCATAAGATAATCAATTTGACAAGTGCCACTTCAACACTTATAGGGCGACCTGAGCACTTTGTCCCCATCAACACAAGCTCAAACTCTTCAGTGGAGACTGTGGGGAAGACACAGGTCAACGGACAGCCTGCCAATGTGAGTCAGCACAATGTAATCTGTCTAATCTAATGAATGTGGGAAATTAGTGAGTTTAACTGTATGTGTATGTCTTTCTGTGGTAATTTATATTCTAGCTTGTGCAGTGAATATTAAATGGTAGGCAGTAATTAAACCGGATTAATGATGCCTTTTGTATATAAATTAATTAATCAGAAGATTGCAACTTATCAATTAAAATTAGCAGTAAAGACATCATAATGTTACTAGAGGTTTTTATTTACAGCTATAAAAAAATCCTTAAAACTGTTTACAGCATGGAAAGTGGAAAAATGGGGATGCAAACTTGCATGCATGAACTGAAGGATTTTGAGAAATAATGTTGCAATGAACATTATAAAAATGTATCTTTGCCATCATGTTAATAAATTTAATTCTGTAATATACTACAATAGTGAAGTTATGTAAAGCTGCAATAAAATTCAACAACCTACAACACTTGGTTAAATTGTGTTTTGTTCTAAATTTATTAGTGCTGTTAAATTTCAAATTAGTGCGTTAACGCATGCGATTAATTTGAAATAATGAACGCTTTAAAAGAAATGAACACAGTTGCAGGGTTTTTTTTTTTACTTCCTGTTGTGGTGGACGTGTGTTAATTAAATATGAATAAGATCAAGGAAGCACTTTTTGAAGGCAATAATTTTTTTGATAATCAATTCGCTGCTTACACGGTAGACTCTTAATAAGAATATTATCTTAATCATATTAAAATCGGAGAATTGCTGTCTTATGTAAATGTACTCAGAAAGTGTCTGGTGAAGTCGTGAGCTGTCAAAGACTCTGCCTTTCAGCATGAGCCCTCCAATGTTTCATTAAATTTAACGTGTTTCCTTATTAAATGCAACGAAAGTGTATGCTTCACGTTGTTGTGTCAGAATTGTGAAATATAGACATACTTAAGAACGCTTAGTTTAAGCAAATTTGATAAACGCGATCATGCGTGTTCAATCTGAAAGGAGTCGCTCCAGCGCGTTGTGTGTGTGTCTGTCAGGCCCATTGAGGGGTGTCAGGGGTTGAGTGAGTGACCTATCGGAGTTGGGGCGTGTGCGCGCAATACGTACCTTAAGAGCGGTGGGGGTGAGTTGCGCACAACATACCTGAAGAGCTAGGAGGGATGCGGTGGAGAGTGCATTTGCGGCAACTGTTTGTATTCAATACTTTATTATTATTATTATTTTTTATTTTATATTATTACTACAACTTTAAATAGTTTTTGTCTTGCGTTTATATTAATTTTACATTTGAATAGCCAAAATTACAAGTTTCAGTATTTTAAATGCGATTAATCGCGATTAATTTTCCAAAAAAAAGTGTGATTAATTAGTTAATTTTTTTATCGATTTATAGCACTAATATATATATATATATATATCACACTTGTGGCAGTGTGATGTGGCTGTATATCAGAAGTGGAGGCCAAGTAACTTAGGCCCTGTTTACACTGCCAGTTACATGTGACCTAATTCCGAATTTTTTTTTTTTTTTTTTTTTTTTTTTTTTTTGCTCATATGTGACACAGATCGCATTTGTTCTATGACTGTGTAAACAGAAAAAAACGCATGCATTTGGATATTCAGAGATCGGTTTCAGGCCTCCATATGTGTAAATAAATCAGTTATAAATCAGATATGTGACAATACGACTGTCATGTAAACAGGCAGATCAGATTTGAGGCTTCCTGTTTTGTATGTCATTAAACCTGCGACCGAAAATGTGGTGCTTCTCCGCGGTTTTAATTTAAAAGAAGTCAGTCGCCACAATTTGTTCCCACCAGACCTGAGATCTCTCTCATACCCACAAATTCCTCTGAATGATGGAGGACATCAAATAGTATATAAACCATAGGCACAAGCTGCGATGACGGCCCTTTCCCACCTCCACCGCCTCAAAATCATTTAAGTTGGGCGAACCTCGTGTTGTAACTTGCTTTTTGTCGCTATTAATACACGCACTGCGGGCAACACATAAAACAAATTTATTCACTCCAACACCAGTGCGCATTCAGGCAAAGGCTACATCTTCAACTACACACACACTTCAGGGCCATACCATTACATAAACTGCGTGGGGGTAAATCTGGACTAAACCATTCACTGCTTATACTACACTTCGCATATTTCACAGAGCTAAAAACAAGACAATTTCTTCCATCGTGGCTAGTGTGGCACCCGTGCTAGAACCCGCCTTTATGCATGCACAGCATCGTAAATTCTATGGCAAGTATAAACACATGAATTGGATATGGGTCAAAATTAAAAAAACCGTGTAAAACAGGCAAAAAAAATCAGATATAGGTAACAAGTCCTATATGGGCATCAAGACCTGACAGTGTAAACGGGGCCTTAAGGCTGATTTATACTTCTGCGTCAAACGCACGCGTATGCTACGGCGCAGCCTACGTGACGACGCATAGCCCTACGCTGTGGCCGTAGGCGTCGCTGACGTGGACCTCTCAAAAAATGTAACTACACATTGCAACCGCGTGGCGCAAGCTCTGTGATTGGTCGGCTTGTTAGCGTTGATTAGTCTGGGTGGGACCGAGAGCCACGCGAGTGGCATGAGCCTGATGGAGCGATTGTTTACAAGTGTGGAGTCCCGTGAAGGAGCTCTGGATGGAAAGTTTTATTTTGTGTTTACCTCATAGTTAAAGTTGTTGCACATCTGCATTTTATCACATGTGCAGCTGACATCAGAACAGCAGAAGCCATTACTAATTTGTCAACACCATTTTAGAGCTAGTATTTGGATGATTCTCTAGGGCAATATGTGAAATTCACAAAACAGGTGAATTTGCTGACATTTTAAGATTATTTGACTGAATGGCATGAAATCCGTCTAAAGATATTTCCCAGTATTTCTCTGTTGCAATCAGGAGATCACAATATCTAACCCTGAAAAAGGCAAAACAAAGCAAGCACTACAAGAAACACAGCAGAGAGAAGTCGGCTTAGAAAGTCACTCTCCAGTTCTATAATGGTTTGTTCAAGTTTCGTTTTAATTTTACGCTCAGAAAAACATTTTTTATTCCCCAGCCTGTTATGCGGTCTCTGTCGTCATCTTGTGGAAGAACAATGTAACGTCAGTTTTTTTGCTCGAGTGTGCTATGAAAACATATTTTCAAATGGGCATTATCAATAAACTGCACAGTAGCAATCTAAACAACTACATTCTCAACTAAAAAAAGCCTCAAGTCCATTAAGTTGTCCAACAGCAGCAATATTTGTCAAACTGTGTAGAGAGTTGTTTAGCCTTCTTGATGTCGCTATGGTGTTCACAAGGGTGAAGAGCAGGGGGCGTACTGGGGCCTACTATAAAGCTGTACTGGGGCCCTGATCATTGAAGAAATCTTTTGCATTAATATTAAATGAAATTCTATAGACAATACTAAAGAATACTAAAAGATGTTTTAAAATGATCTGCTGTCTGAGACGTGACACATGGCAGAAAATAAAGCTTATTAAGTCTTACCTTCCTCACTCATCATCTCTCCTTTGTGCTTCTTGGTTCGGTTGCGCATAAAGAATAATGTCTTTATTCCGGGATTACCACTTTTAATAAATACCCTTGCATATAAAGTAAATCGCACTGGATGTTTTTATTGGGGCAGTAAAAATTTTTACCAGATGTCGTATTGGACATACAAGATTAACACAACTTTTTACTCAAAGATGAAGACCCTACCCAATGTTTACACTGTAAATCCCCATGGACTGTAAAACACATTTTACTGGACTGCCCTGCTTTTAATGACTCCAGAAAGACTTTTTATGATGAGAACTCTCTTAAGAACATTTTTAACAAAGTGACACCAGGAAAAGTTTTTGAATTTTTAACATGTATTAAGCAGAAAAATCCTATTTAAACTGTATATTCAATTTTTTTTTTTTTTTTTACTGTTGATTTTTTGTTAATTACTGAAATGCTTTTGCCATGAAAAAAGCCTTAGTAGCTGACATGGCAATAAATAAATAATGAATGAATGAATGAATTGGGGCAGTAAATGGGGTCAAGAGGCTGTCTGAGCGCTGATATTACTGTAGTATCTCACGGCTATCAGTGTATATATAAACACATTTGAACAGTAGTGTACATTATTAATTTGTCCAGTTTAAGTTGTTGCTTGTTGATTTGATTTGATTTTTTTTTTTTTATTTTAGGGAGTACTGTCTAAAATGATGAATGGAAGCATCCAAGATAATGCAGCTGCTGTAAGAAACAAAGGTGGGTTTTTTTAAGAGCTAAGTTAAACTTAAAATGTTTGAAGACATAGGAAATTACTCACATTCCTTCCCACTGTTCTCTCTCCACCTTTTGTAGACTATGAGCTCATAGCTTTAAAAAATCGTAGAAGAAAGTTAGAATTTTTCATGCAAAAAGGTAACTGCATTTACTCGGGCTCTAGCAATTTATTTGTACATGTCTAATTGAAAACTGCTGCTAATTCATTTAACTGTGCTGATTTGTGTGAAACACTTGTAATGGAGTGTATTGGTGGAGTCTGTTCTTCTGAATTTTAATAACTCTGTTCACTTAAAAACAAATTGGTTTCTGCATTCTAATGCCCTGATGACCCAAAGCTTTTAGTACATGCAGTACACATGCACCCTATGTTATGTTATGTTAAAGGGGCTATATGAAGAAATTTTCAGTTAACAGTCAGGTTTTTTTTTTCTTTTATTATTTCCAAGCTTTGAACTTTTCCATCAGTATATCAAGGATTAGAATCAAATTCAGTCCTTTGTACATAGTGCGTACAATACCAGTTTAGCTAGTGTTGCTAATAACAAGTTACAATTTTGTGTATAGCCCCTTAAATATGATTTAATAGGCTTTTTTGTCTTTCTTAAATACTGTGTACCAAAAGCTTTTGTAAATCAACCTCTAGGTCGGAGCATGAACATCTGAAAATGTTTCAGTGGTTTCTGTCGCTTCCCGTTTTGTCATTCTTGAAGCTAAAGCTAATGCTCTGTCCTTCAGGTGGCACTGTAAGCTCCTGGGTCTATCTCTGTGGTAAATAAAGATGCTTTTTATGCTGCTATGTTCTGAAATAATTGTGTGGACTGTGGTGTATAAAATTTTATTTTTATTTCAGTTTCCACAACTGAAATAAAAATATAATAAAGCGATTGTGACTTTTTTTAATCCTGCAATTTTTTCAGAATTGCTTACAGTATGAACTCAAACCAAATATAGTCAAAATTATATGATAACACAAACCTGAATTGGCAGACATGAACCCACTATTATCACTCTACTCTCAGTTCTGATATTTGAGCTGTAATATCAATTTTGAGGGGAAAGAAAAGCTTTATAACAACTCTAATATTTAAAACAATAGTTATTGTAAGAAAGTTGTCAATTTTTTTTGTTCCTCAGAATTAGACATTAATTAATTCTGAGACAAGATTTAGAAATTGGATTAATGCAAGTCAAATGCAAGAAATAATACAGTAAAAAAGTTACTAATACCCTTTTAATTTTATTTACTTTTGTTTTCTATGCTGTGATGGGTTCTGTGAGGGCTGGATTAAAACTAGGATACATTTTTGTAGAAGTAACTTTGAACCATTAGTTTCTCAATCAGAAGAGATTCATCTACATTAATCTCAGAGGAACCTAATTGCATTAGGTTTACTCTGAGATTCTTTCATGTTTACTTCTGTCTTTTATTTTGTTTAAAACCTTCATACAGGCATGTATGTGTGAATTTTGCTGTGTGCTCAATTGACCGTGGTGGCTTTGGTTACAGTTTTGTCAAATGAGCAGGTGGTGTGTGTCTGAATCAACTGATCAGCATGAATCAACAAAATATATGCTTGGGAAACTTATAGCTCTAAACTTTATGCACTCCTTTGTTTTGAATAAATGATTTTTGTCTTCATCTGTTTTATTAGGTGGCTCGGAGTCTGACATCTCTGATGTGAGTTACCACTGTCATTGACTTTTAGTTTTTTATGAATGTTAAATTCTGACAGTTTTTTTTATTTATTAAACTTTATACATATTTTCTTTCAGCCATTATTCATTATTTTTGTCTGTGGAATTAGCTTCAGGTTCCCTCCATCAGCACCACTTCCTCCAGCTGGTCATGGGATCATGAGGAGGAGAGGCGGCGACAGGAGAAATGGCAGATGGAACAAGAGCGCCTCCTTCAGGTTCCTTCAATCACACAGTCTTTTTTTCTCATGAGTTATGAGAAGTTTGAATCTTCTGAAAGAACTGATTCTTTTGAATCTTTCATTTTAGATAAGTTTTTATTTTTTTATTTATTTTTTATTGGTATTTAATTATGTTTTGCATGATAAAAACAAATGACTGTTTTTTTTTTTTTTTTTTTTTTTTTTTTTTTTAATGCCAAAAAGCAATATTACTATTGTTCATACTATATTTTAAGGTGCAAATCACACTGTTAATAAGACATTAACTTTGACATTTGCCTTAATAAAGCAAAACATTTTTTTTGCTTATTAATTGTTAAGGTAGTAGTTGGATTTGGGTATTGGGTAGGATTAGGAATGAATTATAAGATCATACAGAATATGTACTTTCATAAATACTAATTAACAGCCAATATCTTAATAATGGGCGGGTAATAAGCTACCAGTAAATAGTATGTAATACTGTTTGTACAAAAGTGGTTACATTTCTTATTCTGGAATGCACTAAATTGTGCAATATACCATAGAGTGTATACTGCGTGCTTATTACATCAAAGTAACGGAATAAAAATGAATCAGTCATAAAATGTAGTAAAGGTTCTTTTTGTTTCCATGCAATCCATTATATATATATATATATATATATATATATATATATATATATATATATATATATATATATATATATATATATATATATATATATTTTTTTTTTTTTTTATAAATGTTTTATTTATTTGTAAGTTTAGTAATCTTGTTTAATTGCAGCCATAATAGTCCTAACTGTAAATCACATATAACTCTGTAGTGAATGTATATAACATTTTTGACCTAGATCAGCTAGATCATTGGTTAGATTCAAAGGCTCTGTGTATTTAAATTGATTATTCACAGAAATCCTCTAAGATTCCTCATCATTTACAGTACTCGCACTTCAGTGTTTTTAATCATTAAAAACAAATTAGTGTGTTCATCAAAAGAATGAAAGTGAATCAGATTTGGAACAAGTTAAGGGTGAGTAAATTATCAGTGACTTGGTGAACTGATTCCTAATAAACCTACTGTATGTACACATTTAAGAACTGGTTACCAAACTGAGTAGCCCATCCTCTTTTGTGCTTATTTGCTACATGGTTCAGTTAAAAAGAACAAATTCAATGAAATGATTCCTTCATGACTTTACCATAAACGGATCCTAACTCCACAATTTTTATTTTGATGGTGACATTTATATTCCAGTTGCTTATGGGAGTAATTCAGTAAACAAGCAAATATATGCAGTGTGATGAGATATGTGTGTATATATGCACACTTTAGACCTTTTACTGTAGCAACAACTTAATTCCATAAGCTCCACTATTTTTATTTTCATTACATTTCAGGTATCGTGGCATGTAGTAATAAATTACGTAAAGGCCAATATTTTGGCCTTTAAATGTCTGCAAAGATGAAAGAGAATAAACTAAAAATGTTTACCAGTGACCTTTGGTTGCATTTCTTCCAGGAAAAGTATCGACGTGATCAGGAAAAGCTAGAGGAGGAGTGGAGGAGAGCTCAGCAGGAAGTCTATGGAGAAGAGTACTGTGGTCTTGAGGTCAGTAGACTTTAATCTCTACTTACTGACCACGTTGTGTATTAATAATGTGATTATTTGAATGGAATCAAACAGCAATTCATAGCTATTTACTTTAGTGGCTAATTTGTTTTAATTTTTCATTCCTACATTTGTACAAATTGCTCATCTTTCAATTTAATGTAGGGTTAAAATATATTTAAAATAACCCCTTAATGTATATTACCTAACCTTTAATTAATCTTAAAAATAATGTTTATTCATATGTATGATATTGTATGAATCTTCCACTTTTCAGACAATATGTAAAATGGTTGTTTCCTCTTGAGAATGCCGTGGATCCTTTATGTCAATCTAATTTATGCTAATCAAAATGATCTGAAGTAAAATGTTATGTTAACTAACCTTTTCATCTAATTTACACAAATTTTAAGTTTTACATATACCTTTTTCTGATGATTCATGATTTCTATGGATGTTTATTTGGTTCCATGTTGAACATAGAAATATAATTCGCTGTGACGCTATATAAGTTAAAGGGCACCTATTTTACCCGATTTCTTTAAGATGTAAGAAAAGCCTTTGGTGTCTCTAGAATGTGTCTGTAAAATTTCTGGTCAAAATACTTGATAAATAATCAGGTAATATGTTATAGCCTCCAGAATCTGCTGATTTTGGTGTCTGAATACTTTGTAGCTGTTTTTGTAGTCTGGTTCTGTTAGCTCACAAGTTTATTTTATGTATTTGTGGCAGAGTTTATTCAAGCCTTTCTGACATGATGAGTCTCACACAAATGACGTTTGCAGTACACACACGTGAGCGTTCAACTCGCACCATGTGGCCGTGGTGATTATAGCGGTTAAGAATTAGGCTACATAGCGATTTTACTCTCTTTATTACAAACATGTAATAAACATTTAAACACAATTTAAACTTATACAACATGTAAAAAAAATCACAGAGTTGGAACAAATATCTTAATCCCAGTTTATTTGAAAACCACAGTTTTACTTCACATTGCAGTGGGCCTCAAAATCACTGGGATTTGGGTCCTATTTCAACGTCAGGAAATTTTAAAAAAGAGACTTGCTGGGTTTATATCACTCCAATATGATTGTGGACACACTATACCTACACACAGTTCTGTCCAAACAGCTTACAAACGTAGATTTTTATCATAGGTGCCCTTTAATGATGCACACTTTAGTCAAATAAATGCAAATAACATGCCTGCTCTTTAAATAGTCAAAAGTCAGTGGTTTCTATGGTTCTGAGCTTATGCATATTATGATTTCATGAGCTATGGTTTATCTGTAAAATTGCCTGAAATTGTAACCACATTGTAAGGGCAGCATGCTAATCTTTCTCATTTTTTCAACAGTGCTTTCATTTATCGTTATATTCTGCAACTGCTAACTACAGTATGAATGGTGAATGGTTAACATTGTTGTTCATCTCCTGTTGCTATTAGGAGCAGAAAACCCTTGACGTGCTGTCCAATGGAAACCCTGCCCCTCATAATTCACCTCCCTTCTACAACCAGTCGAGTGCCACCTTTTCAGTGACGTTTAATGAGAATGTGGCAGCAGCACAGAACAGACAGGCCTGTGTGCAAACAGCAGCAGGACACCAGTCAATAAAAGCAGAAGACAAGTGTGATTCACCCACAAAGACTCTGTGGTAAGAAATCAGCCAAGCACAGTTGCAAAATATATTTGATGCATTGCTGAAAATATTGTAAATGCCTTTTTGGTTAAAAACTGTATCTTTTAACTGTTTTCAAATACAATACCTCAAATGACTATAATAATTTTAGTAGAGGCATTCAAAGGATTAACATTTGAGAACCGTGGCACCGTCTGCACATGTAATCTTAATAACATTAATAGTTGTGCCACTTAGAGATGCATGTTTGAAACATTTGGATCCACATTAATTATATGTATGATAAAAATAATACCACCTGTAAATATTGTAACTGCCTTATATTGTGCTTTTGTAGACCATGAAAACCATATACTGTATGACTTCACATACAGTAGTTAACAGTAGCTTATGACATTTGAATTTGACATTTAAGAAAGAATCAACAAAGAACTTTAGTGCAGGTACAAATGCAAATGCTATGTCTTTACACAAATGCAGTATACTCATGACTCATTGCAGAATTGCAAGCATTTTCCATTACTTTTTCTGGAGCTGGAAAGATATTCAACAAATGTATCATTTACAGTAAACTGAGGCCATCAATAATGTAATAATCAGTGATGTGTATAATACACAACAGGTTGTGAGTGCTAATCAGTTCAGCAAATCAAACTGGCATCAGTGCAACCTCCAATGAAATTTAGTCACATTAGTGTTTAATGGTTGCATTTTGCAACCCCTTTGAGTCAGTCTGGAGTCCTGATTCAGTAAATAAATTAAATTAAGACATCACATAATTGTAGCAAGCAGAATATTCGGTATTCGACAGAACTCATTGTCTGTTTCATTTCCAGCTATAATGTTTTTTGGTGAGTTTGTCAGTTTCAAATGAAGATTTAAGGGCTGTCCACTCATGTAAACCTATTGACGAATGACATTTGTTTTTAGAGCCACATTTGAAGAGTGCTGTTTCTAATTGGGCCAAATGTATAGTTGTTCTGTTGTTTCCTGTTTTTTATTAAGATTTTAACTATTAATCACAAACATATAGAAACAAACCAACAGACAATGCCCATTTTAACAATGCTAAAGAAATACAAATAAATTTTATATAAAATGTAAAGTTTATGATTATGTGTAGTTTAGACTATTGATATTAATGTTGTTTTTTTCTATAAATATTATGTTCAATTAACTATCCCTGAATCCCTAAATTGCTATAATACACTCACTGGCCACTTTATTAGGTACACTTTACTAGTACCGGCTTGGGACCCCCTTTTGCCCTCAGAACTGCCTTAATCCTTTGTAGCATAGATTCAACAAGGTACTGGAAAGATTCCTCAGAGATTTTGGTCCATGTTGACCTGATAGCATCACACAGATTTGTCAGCTGCACATCCATGATGCGAATCTTCGAATCTGCCACATCCCAAAGGTGCTCTATTGGATTGAGAGCTGGTGATTTGAGTACAGTGATTTTGAGTAGTGATTTGAGTACAGTGAACTCATTGTCATGTTCAAGAAACCAGTCCGAGATGATTCACGCTTTGACATGGCATGTTATCCTGCTGATCGTAGACATCAGTAGACTGTTGTCATAAAGGGATGGACATGGTCAGCAACAATAATCAGGTCGGCTGTGGTGTTTACACGATGCTCAATTGGTACTAATGGGCACGAAGTGTTCCAAGAAATTATCCCCCACATGATTACGCCAAAACTGTTGATACAAGGCAGGATGGATCCATGCTTTCCTGTTGTTGTTGACAAATTCTGGCCCTACCATCTAAATGTCACAGCAGAAATAGAGACTCGTCAGACCAGGCAACGTTTTTCCAATCTTCCATTGTCCAATTTTGGTGAGCCTGTGCAAATTGTAGCCTCAGTTTCCATTGTGGTCTTCTGCTGCTGTTGCCCATCCTCCTCAAGGTCGGACATGTTGTGCGTTCAGAGATGCTCTTCAGCATACCTCGATTGTAACGAAATGTTATTTGAGTTACTGTTGCCTTTCTATCAGCTTGACCAGTCTGGCCATTCTCCTCTGACCTCTTTCTTCAACAAAGCATTTGGCCCACAGAACCACCAATCACTGGATATTTTCTCTTTTTCAGCCCATTCTCTGTAAACCATAGAGATGGTTGTGCATGAATATCCCAGTAGATCGGCAGTTTCTGCAATACTCAGACCAGCCCATCTGGCACTAACAATCATGCCACGTTCAAAGTCACTTATATTACCTTTCTTCCACATTCTGATGCTCTGTTTGAACTGCAGCAGATCATCTTGACCATGTCTACATGCTTAAATGTATTGAGTTGCTGCCATGTGGTTGGCTAATTAAAAATTTGTGTCAAAGAGCATTTGGATAGGTGAACCTAATAAAGAGGCTGGTCAGTGCATATAATAATTTTAAAATCACCTCTAAAAACCGTAATGATATTTTGTTTTGAGCATGTGCATGTCTTACTGCTGCTTCACTGCATATGTGTCTGTGTTTTGCTTCTGCTCTGTCCTGTCCTGCTTCAGCTCAGAGGAGTCCTATGGGTTTGCCAAGCTTACCGTTTCCGACAGGTCAGTTTGCTTTTGTGGCTGGACTGTATTTGCTGATCTTAATAGCTTTTGTGGCTTTGTGTACTGAAAGGTTTCCCAGCATCTCAAAGGGGAAGTCTGCATTTTCACGTCCAATATGCTCCATTTTAGTGTCATTTAAAGACAAATTTATAATTACTTATGTTCTCATCAGAAATGTAAGGAAAGGATTAGGATTCATGGTTCTGATTTCATTTACATTCAGCATCATTTCTGTTTATTTTTAATCACATTCTTTATCCTCTCAATTATCAAATTAAAATGAATAATTTATTGTTGGTGATGCTTAAATTACACAGATTACCTTTTTTGGCAGGTCTGATTGGCAGAGTGTTGCTTTATTATTGCTGCATTACTAAATTTTTGTGTTTATTTTTAATAGGACAAAGTCAAAATCTACTCCTGCACTTGAAGCCCTTCACAAACAAGACGCTAAAGGTTTGAATACCTTGCATTTGGCTATTTTTATGTGAATGCTTGTGAGCTGACTGTCAGGTAGAATGCTTGTTTTCTCTTTATTTTCCCTTCGCTGGCAGAAGGCTGCAGTAAGAAGAAGGGACAGCTGTCGCAGGCAGAGAAGGAGCGTCTGCAGATCCTGGATGAGATGAGGAAGAAGACGCCACTCCACACCGACAGCAGCTGGATTCGACAGCGCAACGCCAGCATCAACAAAGAGACCATCACTGTGGGCACATCAATCAGGAGGTCCTGATAAATGAACTGAATATAAACAATTTTCTTATATTATCTAGGATAGATTGTATATTTACCATTTGATACTTGAGATAATGGCTGCTGACATTTCAGCTTGTCATTACTGAAATAAATTAGTTTCATTTAGTGTCATTGTTGTAAATGTGATTCGATATGTGGTCATCATAAAATATATTAAAATTATATTCATTTAAATTGTAATATTTTACTGTTTGCTCAAATAAGTGAAGCCTCAGTGAGTGTAACTTTCTAAACCACAAGAATTTAATCATTCTTAATTGATATTTTTCAATAAGTATAATAATCTGCTCACCAAAGCTCAGTTTTAAAAATATACAGTAGAAACGGTAATAATTTAAAATGGTAAAATAAAAAATCTATTTCCGGTTTAGTATGAAAAATTATTGTGATGAATATTTTATTTTCTGTGTCACACGATTCTTTAGAAATGTTATTAAAACATGGTAATTTAGTGTTCATGTAACTTTTTAAAATATTTTTGTATTTGGACATTAAAAATGATTGATGCATTTTTAGGATTCTTAGATGTACATTAAAATAATATAATAATAATACATTTTATTTGGATATCAGTTTTCCTACATGCATCCAACTCAAAGCACTTCACAACAAAAAAAAAAAAAACAAGCATTATAAACTAAAACAAATGTATGGACAAATAAAGCAAAATAAACTACAAATACTCAGATTAAAGCATACATGTAAATGCATATATGCAAACATCTACACAATCACACACAAAATAGTTCTTACATGTGCATATATGCACACACTGTACATAAATACATACATACATACATACACCTACACAATATATATATATATATATATATATATATATATATATATATATATATATATATACACACACACACACACACACATAAAATTCTAACATTTTACATATTGTTATGTTCATATGCAATTCTTAAAAGTTTTAACTTGTTTTTTAAAAAACATAAAAGCTGTGGGATTCTTTCACTTTACTTGGGAGACAATTCCAAATTTTTGAAGCAAAGTGACTAAAAGAGATGCTGCCAGATTGCAGATTTACAGAGGGAAATTCTTAACGTCCAGTGCTAGAAGAGAGTAGCAAATGGTTTGGATTGTATCTCGATAAGCAGTCAGAAATGTAAGGTGTCAGGTTGTGTAGTGCCGTATAAACTAATAAAAGACTCTTAAAATCTAAAGAAAGCTACAGTATTAGGAGTATTCTTTTAATAAAAATTATCAACCTCTACTAAATAGCAGATATGTTTTATGGTAAAAGTACCGTAATTAATACATATACTATGAAAATTGGAAAGTGTAAAGTGTAAGACCAATTTATTTAAAAACATAATCTAAATTAAACATATTTGACTACTATATTACCTTTATTTTGTTGAACTATGCCATAAAATATTTCAGATACTCGTTTAACACATTTTCTTGATTTTGGTTTTATTGTAAAAATAAATAAATGAATAGATAAATAAAAATCAAATATAGCAGTGCAACAGGAATTATGTTTGATGCTTCTTTTTTTTTTTGTAAACCAACATTGCTGTTTAGTGTAAACCATTATTTAAAGCAGTCATTCTTTAAATACCTTTAACAGCCCTTATTTAAAACAGTCAAAATATAGTCAACCATTTGGTATAGCAGGCAGTTAAAGGGCTAGTATACATTTTTTATAATATACAATTTTTAGGCTAAAAGAACACTCCTACTGTGAAGTTCCAGTAATATTTATTATCTCAAACTGTGTCTCTTTGTTACAGATATGAATCTATGGACAATCTCCACACAACTAACTCGTGGTCCAGGCAGTCGTACACTTCCGGTTTGTCCAGCAGACCTCATTCTGCATTAGGAAGCAGTGGCTCTTACAGAAGTGGACGCAGCAGCCTGGGCCCCGGATCAGCCATCTTCTCTACTGGAGTAAAACTGAACTCAAACACAACTACTCCTGAACCGCCGGGCCTCGAGTCCCGTCCAAACTCTCAGCAGCAGGGCAGGTATGGACTATTCATGTGTGGAAGTCATGTTTTTACATTTAAATAATACTTTTAATTTTCCCTTTCCTTTTATTCAGTAAATGTATTTTCAGTTTAAACACTTTGAAGTGAATGTTAAGTGCAGCTCTTTTTTTATTTGTTTTTCCTAAAGAAGGATCTCACTCTACCATACATTTAACCCCAGGTATTTTTGCAGTCAGTGGCTGTGTTTTATACGCAGAACACTGGTACTCCATTTTGAGTATATACTGTAGTGTATACTGAGTACAATTTAAAAGTATATATGCATGAGACGGTATGCTGCTTTTCATATTGTTTACAAAAATCGTACTCTACAAAACCTATATTAATAAAATGTGTAATTAGTGATGCACTGAAATGAACAAACATTTAGGATGCAGTTAATAGGCAAATAGGGTATAAAGCATAACATTCATTTAATACTCAAATTTGTAAAACATAACTGCGATGTGTTTAAATGGCACAAAGCAGTAAGTCAAGAATTAAACAATTTTCGACCGTTTAGTTTCTTGATTAACTAGTTATGACCAATTTATTTGAACATTAAAGTAATGTAAAGACTAAACTACATTGCAGCTTAATATGTTGTATATATGTGTATATATATATATATATATATATATATATATATATATATATATATATATATATATATATATATATATATATATATAACTTTTCTAGGTAACTATTTGAGCTTTCAAATGACTTTCTTTTGATAAATGTTAAATTAAAAGCTGTTTCTACGTTTCACTATTGAAACGTTTAGTGACTGATTATTGGAACATGCCTTCTGTTCATTCAGATATAATTTGTGCCATAACCAGTAGTAAATATAATGGTTTTATACTTTAACTCTGATCAATAGTTTATTTAAGCATGCCTTTTGTTCATTCGGATATAATTTATGCTCTAGCCAAGAGTAAATATAATGGTTTTATACCTTAACTGTGACCAATAGTTTATTTGAACATGTCTTCTGTTCATTCAGATATAATTTGTCCTATAACCAGTTGTAAATATAATGGTTTCACACCTTTACTGCTTTACTGTGACCAATAGTTTATTTAAACATGCCTTCTGTTCATTCAGATATAATTTGTGCTATAACCAGTAGTAAACATAATGGTTTATACTTCAAATGTGATTAGTACAGAGAGTAAAAACAGCATTTGTAATTTGTTTTTCTAGAAAGAAAAATGTGTAGCTTTGAGTTTAAACAGCGAATTATAAATAATGTTCTGCAATGTTTGTTTATCAACAGAAAACAAGACTAAAAATGTGTTTTGAGATTAAACTAATCCAAATAAGCACTATAGACTAAAAAAAGAAGACCTTATATTAATAGTCCTGCATAAGTGTGTCAACAGCTGACATGTTTACCTGCTGTTTATCCAAATTGTCTGCATAAAAGAAACTGATACCTCACATAAGAAATGGTAATAAAATCTGCCCATTTCAGCTGATGAAATTTCAGTGCATCACTAGTGAAAATTGTTATTGTGTGTGTTTACATATACTGTATAGGCCAATATGGCTATTCCATTGATAATATAAAAGTTACTCTGTTCAGTATACATGCAGTATAGTAAGGTATTAAACTATTTGTCCGCCGCCAACCCTCTCTGGTAAATGAAGTGGACTGAGGCAGAGGTCTTTTGTGTGACATTGAGCATGTGGTGCCTGTAGGCTGGTCAGTGGCAGGCGGATGTGCTCGAGGTGCGAGCAGCCGCTGGGGAAGGGAGCTGCCATGGTCATCGATTCCCTGGAGCTCTGCTTTCACATTGGCTGCTTCAAGGTGAGGCCGGAGGTCACCTGAAACTGAGAGAACTGGCCATCCATGGACATGCCTGGGGTTTTAATCTTCATCATCTGGGGAAATGGGAGAGAATTAGCCACTACTCTTTTGGTGAAGGCAATCAGATTGCAAGCATGCAGGACAAATTAGAAATGCTGTCTTAAATTGATCTAAAACTGTCTTAAAATGCTGTCTTAAATCTAAAACTGATAAAATATAACAATTTCAGTAATGCTTTGTTTTAGGGTGTGTATAAGTTTGGCAGGTTTGGTTTTATTCAAACTGAAAAAAAAATCACGGCTTGAATTCAAGCATATAGCATTTAGAAGTTTGTAACTATGTTTGCAAAATAAATGCCTTTTTTGGTATATTTGGATTTGGTTTTTGAAGCGACAGTGAATTCTAAAGTATGCTAAAAAACACACCCTTAATTTAAACATCCACATGATCACACCGGTGTGATTTAGAACATTAAGTGCATGACATAATTGGTTGTTAAATTAAAATCTGCTTTCCCATGTTGGCTTATGCTAAACCAGAGCAAGACATGCATGCCTAGTAAAATCATTGTGTTAAAACGAATAACATGTATTTAGGTTTCAGACATTTAAATATAAGTGCTACACATAGGTATTATCAAAAAGAGTGTTGATGGTTTGTAAAATTCACGCTGATGTCTATGTAGAAACAGTAATTACTCTTATACATAATCAAATCATGTGCTTCTCTTTCATACGGTGGCCGAGAAAGCTTAACGTGCTGCAATTTTAAGAAAGCACATGCAATTAAATGGAACACCAGCAAATTCAGAAACTATCTTCATCAACTTCTCACAACACAAACAACTGCAGAAACACACACCAATTGGTTACAACACAAACAGTAATTAAACGAGCTGCATTTCGCACACAACAGAAACATTAATAAAATGCACTGCATTTCTCACAACAGAAGTGTTTCAAGGACACCCTAAAACATGACAGATCCTGGTTTACTGGGTTATGGTTATTTAGGCTAACAAATACTAAAGACATGGGGATTGGGTAAACAAACAAACAAAAAGAAAATTCACCTGTAACTGCATAATTGCATGTGTTTCCTTTATTTTTTTTTTAATCAAGATTAAAATAATATTTTTAAATTACAGCACATTAAGCTCTCTCGGCCACCATACTTTCAACAGATACACACCGTTTAGGTTACTAGAATATTTACTTTAATTTTCTCACAGTGAAACAGCCACATGCATTTCTGGAGAAGTTGATGAATTAACATGTTGTAAATCCAGCAGCTCAAATCTCTCCACTGTTGTGCAGACCAACATGGCAGCACATACTGTCTCATATCAAATAACAGTATATTTTTAAGTTGTTTAAATGATACAATATATGTTCATGCACAAATTTGAGATTTCTGAATATCTGAGATTATTTAATAATTTAAAAAATGACATGTAAAAAGGTTAAAAAGATAATAATGTTTTGTCAAACTACAAATGAAAACTTAAGTCCAGCCTGTTTTCTGATTGTCTTTTCGGTACCTCAGCACAGCCTAGTTAGGCTAACCCAACCTGTGCATCACCAGAACCCTGCCAGTCACTGAGCACACATGCCTTCCCTATCATCAAACTATACCACAGTTTCTGGGAAATAAGTGTGTTCATGTCATATTTTTAATGTTTCATGTATAACTTATATTATGAAATATATCTATGGAAAAAATAGACAACTTGACCACTTGGTTTTTTTTGGATTAACTGCATTTATTAGATTTTTTTTTTCTTTCAACAATGCACTAAGTGCAGGTTTATAATCAGATTCAACTTATTTTCCAGAAAATGGAGTATTTGCTTTAATCTTTCATCCCTGGCTTTCATTCTAATGATGATTATTTCTTTTAGATTGCTAAATTTGGTTGCAGGGGTTTGTGGTTTGTTTACAGTACCTGCTTGTTTGTTCACTGCAGCACAAGACCATTTTATCACCGCTTCACCAGCCTTCACTAAAAATAATCACCTTTTCATATGTACAGTAGCTGTGGTGGAGGAGCTGCACGCACTGACTCAATAATCAGCATTTCTAATGAATAATTAATTTGACAAGAATGTGGGCTGCTTTGGGGGCTTCTTAACCTTTTGTTCGTGGAGTCATGGGAAGAAAAGGGTTGATTTGTGTCCAGTCTGAAGGTCTTCTGTTGATGTTGCAGTGTGTCAGCTGCAGGACTGAGCTTGGTCGAGGGCCTGAATCCGGAGCTCAGGTCAGAGTCCGACACAGACAGCTCTTCTGTAACACCTGCTACTGCAGAATCAGAGGTACGCAAAAGACAACCTCCTTATATATGCACAGTCAGTGAACTGGTTTCTCTGACTGGCCTTACTCTTACAGTAAATATGTTGAAAAAACTAATCTGTAGACTAGGCATGGGCCGGTATAAGATTCTGGCTGTTAGATAATCTTGGATAATAATATCATCACGCTTTCACGGTATTGTGATCACTGCTCTAAATTATATTATTTTTAAATGTCTGGGTAAAAGACAAAAACTTTTTTCTTCTCTTTGAACACAATATATTTTATGTTAAGAAGCATTTAAAATATTTTGGAACAGTAGCTAAACATGTCAGGGTAAATAATACAAATGAATCATTGACTTCTCCTGTCTTCATTAGTTTCAAAAACATTAGTTTGCTTACTATTTAAAGTGGCATCTTTGGATATTGTTTCTGCTGGAGATGCTGTTGTCTTAAAAACATTTTTTTTTTAAAATCTTACATATACCTTAGGAATGTTATAGCAGAAAACTTTGACTATTTTAAAACCTCTATTTCCAAACCGCGTATATACCTTGATAACTGTTATCGTCCCATGCCTACTGTAGACTAGCCTTTATTCCTGTATAAAGTCACACTGCTGATGGTGCTGATTAAAACATTTTTAAATAATTCATGATCACTTGCCTTTAATTACATATATTTCACATTCTTTGTAAAAATAAACATTGTTTAGTAATTATTTTTTTCGAAGAATGTGTAATATAAAATATATAATGCAATGATTCAATGAGTGCGAATCACGACCCTTTGAGTTATTAACAAACCAAAATCAAATAATGCAGGTGCACAGTGCATACTGCACTGTTGAATTTTGTTCACAAATGCTGCATTCATTAAAACATTAAAAAATAAAACTAACTGTTCTTGAAGATATCTATTAGAGGTGTTATGGTACAGAAAAAAAAATGTTTCAGTACATACCTTGAGTTTAAAGTACTTTTAAAAAAAGGTTTTTAATAAGCAATTCAAACAGCAACTGGAAACAAAGTGCTTTATACAAAAATGACAACATTACATTAATTATAAGAATATTGAAAAGCTATTAAAATAAATACTGAGAAATATTTATTTTACACTTAACATCAATAGAATGCAATATACTATTATTTAGACCAACAGTCTAAAGCAGTGGTCACCAAACTTGTTCCTGGAGGGCCGGTGTCCTGCTGATTTTAGCTCCAACCCTAATCAAACACACCTGAACAAGCTAATCAAGGTTTTGCAAGGTATACATGAAACACCCAGGCAGGTATGTTGAGACAAGTTGGAGCTAAACTCTGCAGGGACACTGGCCCTCCAGAACCAAGATTGGTGACCCCTGGTCTAAAGTAAAGTCAATACCTTCGAAACATCACAAAAATAAATTGAATTTAAATTTTAAATATAATTTCATGACACTCGTTCATTCAGTAACTTCTGAGTATTTCAAAACACTCCCAGTTAGGTCTTAATGTCTAAATCTGAAGGAGTTTTTGAAATCTAAAATAATCATGCAATAAAAATCTTGGATAGACTAGTGCAGGCCTATAAGGGCACAAAAAATACACACATATTCCTGCAAACCATATCATTGTGATTTACTGTAAAAAAAATAAAATAAAAAAAATATCTGTAGAAAATATAGTGACTTTTTAGTCTTTCTTTGTACTTTATTGTTGTTTCAATGGTTCTTATGGTACAATAATATAATCATAGAAAAACAATAATATAAATAACAACAAACAATATTGATCTGTATTTACATTAACAATATTTAACTGTTAATTTGATGTTTTAAAATTGACATTTTATTTTCTTAGGGTTAGTACTTTTGTGAATACTGCGGGCATTTTTAAGGTGTATGAAACAATTTGCAGCTCTGTTTTACAAGAAATTATGTTATAATCAATAGTCAAACAATTCAAGTACTTTTTATTTATAAAATATAATTGACACTTTACATGTATTAAAAAAATAATTACACAAGGTAGTTTTAGTTTTCTAACTTTAATAATGAAAATATAAAACAGTACATTTATTTATTTGACTTATTTACCCAATGGCTTTTATAAGTTGTTTTCATGACATATTTATGTAAACTTAAAAATGTAAAATAATTAAATTATTTGGTACAGGTTAAGTCAAATATAATTAATATATAGTCTAATATTGCACAATTATTTAGAGTAATGTTCTGATCATTTTAGGAGAAAAATGCATACTTCATGAGTACTAGTTCATGAGTAAATCTGTTACACATTGATTTTCTTGACAATTGAACAGAAGACTCTTGTTATTTAAAGTAACTATATATATATATATATATATATATATATATATATATATATATAGATAGATAGATAGATAGATAGATAGATAGATAGATAGATAGATAGATAGATAGATAGATATATATAGATAGATAGATAGATAGATAGATAGATAGATAGATAGATAGATAGATAGATAGATACACAGTTGAAGTCAGAATTATTAGCCCCCCTTTGAATTATTATTATTAATATTATTATTTTTATTTTAAATATTTCCCAAATGATGTTTAACAAAGCAAGGAAATTATCTTCTGCATAATTATTTGTTTTATTTTGGCTAGAATAAAAGCAGTTTTCAAATTTTTTTTTTTTTTAAACATTTTAGGGTAAAAATTGTTAGCCCTTTTAAGCTATATTTTAAACTCTTTAACTTCAGGGGACTTGTAAAATAAGCCTAAATAAATAATAAAAAATACAGTGAAGCTTAGTTTAAAGCTTCAGTTTTTAAGGCCAACATGCTAACTGCAAAACTCTGCACATTTCCCTCCCAGTCTGTTCCTCAATCTCCAAGTGACCAGAATGCATTGCAACAGATCGAAGAGGAGGAGCGCACCACAGAAACAGCCACAGGAATCGCAACTATTAACACAACCTAACCACTGAGACTGGCTTTCTATCCACAGCTTCCACAATCAATACACTGAGACTGCTATTTCTGTGATTGTTCCCATAGTATGACCTCTACGTAGTGAAGAGTTCCGACATGTTTGATCATTGCTGAAACCCCTGAGGTTGTTTCTGTACTGACTGACATCCACATAGTAAGATGCAATACTGAGCGTTTATGCATTCCATGTGGCAAGTAATAACATGTCTACTGTCTCTCTAAGAACTGTTTTATATGCTGTTTTTCATGCTGAAAACTAATTTGTCTAACATATACAGTATGACTTAAACTTCTTCTTCCTTTAATATAGGCTTTCCTCAGAATTATTTAATAAATGTTGTAGCACACTTTGTTTGGTAATCAAGCACTTTTGTTCTCTTTTATTAGAAAAAATCACATAGTGGTGATGGGATGTTCAGTTTAAGCCATTTGTTCCATGTCAGTTGATAAAGAGGAAACTTATGCTAAGGTTTTAAAATGACTGCATATTGTTATTATTATTATAAGGGAATTATTATATTATTATTATTATTATAAGGGAATAATGTAACATTTATTTTGCCCCTTATGAAGATTTTGAAATATGTTGTCCAGTAGGTGGCGCTCTGGTTTTTATCTGAAGAACATCAGTTTCTTTCCTTTTTTTTCTTCCCCTGGTTAATAGATGTGTGATTCTGCATATTGAGGTCATATTGTAAAATCAAATGACCCGGGATGGTTCTTTCCAAACCTTTATGCTAGATGATTCTGTTTAAAGTTTTGAAGGATTTTAATCTCTTTGGTTAAAACTGGCTTGGCTTAAGTTAAGTGTTGCCATGGAAATAAAGCTTAATTTTAAATAGAAACTGAGTTTGTACTGCAACTGTTTTCAATGAGAGAAAAAAAAAAGAAAATCTTTTTACTACAACTAGTGTATCATTAGCTCCTCATATCCTGAAACAGATACATGCTTCAGCCCTAATTTGGATAATTTAAGAGTGGCTGTAGAGCATCATCAGACTCTTCAGCTCCCTGTCATTGAGTTTCTCCCACAGTCTTCTCTATTTCTTCTAATGTAACCTCTCAATGGCTTTAAAGTGCAGACTTGTCTCAGTACTTAATTGCCTTGTGGAGTGTTGGCATAATACAACTCCCAGTGTCATTTTATTCTGAATTGTACTACCTTTTTCTTTCTTGGAAAACTTGACCAAGTGCTCTAATCGGTTTTGGCTTGAAATCATTTAATGGATAATGCTTATATAAAAATGCACATTATCTGCAGCTTTTCCTTGATTAGTGTTTTAAACACTGACCTGTTTGTTTTCAATGCTATTAAGACATAGCCTACCGTTTTAAAAATAAAATAAAGATGAAAAATGTGCACATTACATATGGATCATTTTTAAATATCTTATTAGAATGCATGTTTATCATTGAATGAATTTTCTAAGAACATGACCAAACTGGTTTGAGGTGATAGAAAGGCAACAATAACTCAAACAACCTTTCATTACAAATGAGGCATGCAGAAGAGCATCTCCGAACGCACAACACGTCCAACCTTGAGATGGATGGGCTACAGCAGCAGAAGACCACAGCGGGTGCCACTCCTGTCCGCTAAGAACAGGAAACTGAGGCTACAATTTGCACAGGCTAATCAAAACTACACAATAGAAGATTGGAAAAAGGTTGCCTGGTCTCATTATTCTTGGTTTCTCTTGTGACATTCATATGGTAGTCAGAATGTGGTGTCAACAACATAAAAGCATGGATCAATCCTGCATTATATCAACCATTCAGGGTGATGGTGTAACCGTGTTGGGGACATTTTCTCGGCACACTTTTGACCCATTAGTACCAATTGAGCATCATGTCAACGTCACAGCCTACCTGAGTATTGTTGCTGACCATGTCTATCCGTTTATATGACCACAGTACCCATCTTCTGATGACTACATCCAGCAGGATAGCGCACCATGTCATAAAGCGCATCTCAGACTGGTTTCTTGAAAATGACAATGAGTTCACCGTACTCAAATGGTCTCCACAGTCACTAGTACTAGTGTACTAGTAAGGTCTACCTAATAAAGTGGCCGGTGAGTGTATATGTGTATAATTTTTTTCCTTGATTGTTATATCACTTACAGTATAAAGTAACTGAAATAAAGACTGTGGGGATGGATGGACAGACAATAAATGAATAAATAGATGGTCCGTACTACCCAAATGCACTTAAAAGTTTGGTCAATTCAAATTTCCAAGTTGTCTCCTAATACAATTTCACATTTTAAGGCAGCACAAACACTGCTGAAACAACACATTATTTTTACTTTCTAATACAGTGATGAAGGCTGTTTCTTAATATGCGTTCCTCAGCATTCTTGCATCCCCGTGTATTGTCATCATCAACTTCCAAAGTTCAGTTAAAACTCAAGACCGCAAGAAAGGAGGACACATGAAAGGCTGTTTCTCAACATGCATTCTTCAGCGATCTTGCGTCCTCTTGTAACATCATCATCAGCTGCCAAAATTCAGTTCTAATACAGAAGACCGCAAGAACGGAGGAGGCATGAAACTTTTAGGATGTGTTCTTAATACCGAGGACGCACCGATGCAGACTTAAGCACTGAACTCACTCTAGAAGTCCCAGAAGTCATTGCGACTGGTGGTGGGGAGTGCAGCAAGTTCAGTTCAGTGCTCAAGTCTGCATCGGTGCGTCCTCGATATCAAGAAAAAGTTCAGAGATATAATTTATTTACCTCAGGAGTTTCCCTAAATGAAACGGTAAAAGTAAACCTCACCATGAAAATCTTAATAAAGGAATAAACACATCAAGGGTGGTTATTTGCTGAAATTCGTATTAAAATCTGTTTATTTAAATTGTGCAATGAATATTTATAATGTCTTTATGCATAGAATATATTTTGAAAAGGAAATAACAATAAATTGTTGTATGAATGCTGTCATTTAAAAAAAAAATGTTTCTTTAAAAATGCATAAAGGTCATGTGACCATCAGGAAAAACGCAGCATCTCATTTCTCATAGAACGCGTTCTCTGTTCTTGCAGTCTTTCGAGTTCATTCTTCCGAGGAGACCTGGCAAGACCGGTCTTCACACGAATGCATGTTCTTTCTCTATGTTCTTGAAATTGAGAAACAGCCAAAGTTTCTGGATGTATTGATATCGAGGATGCGTGGATGCAGACTTGAGCGCAAAATTTGCTCGAAGTCCCAGAAGTCATAGCGACTGAGGTCGAAAGTGCAACATTTTATATGGATTTATTATTATTGTTCAGAGTCATTACTTATTTGTCTCAGGAGTTTATCTAAATGTGAAGGTTAGAGTAAACATTAACGTGAAAGTCTTTATAAAGGCATAAGCACATTAAGGTGTATTTGCTGAAATTTGTATTAATATTAGTTTTATTTATGCATAGTATATATTGTGAGTTCGTTTTTTGAGGTAACTTGGCAAGAACAGTCTCCACAAGAACACAAGTTCGTTCTCAGTGTTCTTGGAATTCAGAAACAGCCAATTACTGCATCTGTTCTTGTTGGCTAAACCTGTCAATATAGCGTGTGTTTGTGAGAGAATTACCCAATATACAGAATGAATCAATCAATCATTTGAGTCAGATCCTATCAGAGAATCGGCTAATCCAGTGAGTGTTTTGTTTATGAATCAAAACTGATTGTGTTCCAGTTTTTCCTCATTGAAGATGTGCAGTAATAGACTGATGGACTATTGTCAATGAACACTAATGTGGCTTGTGGTCTAATAGGTCACTTTAAAGATTGCTAATGTTCCAATTGCAAATCTTCCAAAGCTCCAGCTGCCAGTACCGTTCGCTCCACAAAAAAACGGCTACACTTTTTCTAAATTCCCCTTCTTTTGTACTATAAAAAAGGTGAAATCATATAGATTTGGAGCCATATGTCGGCAAGTATCATGTTTGCACAAGAGTGATCAAATGTTGTTCTGATGAGCATATGGTGCACTTCAGTCCCTCTCCAAACATGCAGATACGTCTTCCCAGAAAAGTCGTGACCTTAGTGCACTCGCCGCGAGGGTTCACATCACCCATAAAGCACAGCATTCCGTTCATGCGTGCAACCGAGTCTCAGATGTGTCCTAATGCTTAGTTAGCCAGTGACGCTCAATTCCTGCAATCTGAGCTCTAAATCTGCTGGCGGAGGTCAACAGACTCCCTCTGAGAGACCAGGGGACAATTGATATCATTCTTCAACTGATTTAAATACCAACAAATAACCTTGGAATTGAATTTTGCGTATGGGAATATAAAAGGCAGCTTGGGTCAGATGATCGTAAACAAAAAGAGGGCTGCTCAAATCAAATGAAGTCTCTTTAAACTGTGCCTGTCACTTTTTGTTTTTATTTGTGCTCAGTCTACAAATCTCTCTTTGTATTAGCATAACCTATTTTAGTGTCTTTCTTTATTCACGGTGACATTTAATCTCCCTGTTATGTTCAAGACCTGTTCCCTTCAGCTAGTTCGTGGCCTTTTTAATAGCACAGTAGCAGGTCTGTGCCTTTATATGGGAGTGCAGTGAGTTTAAATTTATTTAGCTTATTCTTTACCGTCATGGCAGATCTAGGGCGGTTCCACTAAACAGAATATGGGTTCTCAGCTAAATGGACCATAAGATTTTTTGTTTTCCTTTGCAGAGCATATCCGCAAACAAAGCAGCAGTTTGGTTTAACTTGGGAACAGTGTTTTGAGAAAATACAGGGTGGTGTGGAAATATTCCCCATCTGCTCATACTGTACTGCAGTCTTTCTGCATATTCCTCACATAAAGTCTATTATAAGAAAGTCCACATTAAATTGAAGAAAACAGTGAAATTCTGCACTGATGTGAACACATTGCTTGTCTTGATCACTTTCCTGTTTTTGTAAAGAGAGTATTCCTGGAAATCCATGTAAACAGCATTGTCTTTGTGGAAAATGTGAATTTCAGAATTTCCCATGAATGAATGGAAAATCTGTGCTTAAGATAAACAACATGTGCAGTCGCACATAATGATGGATGGCTGTTAACAGTTTGAATATAAAGAAATGTTCTGTGGTTCTAACTCTCAGGCTTAGTTTTCTTTTCTTTTCTTGTTTTTTTTTTAGAAGTAAACAGGGGATATAATGATATACTACCAGTTACTGTATCATTTCAGAATTGTTTTAAGATTCCGCACAACTTCTCTAAGTCTGCTAGTCTGATGTTTTATTTATTCAAAATATTTTAGCATGGACAGGTAATGGACATCTTGTGTGAATGTGTTGGACCAGAGAAGTGGCAGTGGACTGGCTTTTAGCTTCAGCCTCCATCTTAAAAGATCTCTAAGTACTGACTATACCACTTTTTACT